GGTGTGTGGTGGTGTGTGGGAGTGTGTGGGGGGGTGGGACGGGGTGTGTGCGGGGGTGCGAGGGATGAAGAGGAATGAAAGCCTACTCACCCACACACAATGCCCTCCCACACTCACCCACACCACACGCCCTGCTCTCACCTCTGCTGTGCTAGCAGCGGTCTCTCTGCTCCTCTCTGCAGGTCGAATTCTACAGAATAATAAAAACTCTCAGCCACCCGCACCACCCACCCCGCTCTCACCTCTGCTGTGCTAGCAGCGGGTCACTCTGCTCCTCCCAACAGTTCAAATCCTACATAATCATAAAAAATTTTCACAATCACCAACACCACTTGCTCTGCTCTCACCTCTGCTGTGCTAGCAGCGGGTCTCTCTGCTCCTCCCTATCCGCCTGCTCAGCCAACTGTGCCCCACCTGCCCCTCCGAAATTGGACAAGCCCACACTGCCTGTCCCCCTGGAGACAAGAGGGACGGGAAAAGACCACAAAGGGGCATGCGTGAAGGGAAGAGGAGAAAGGGCGCGGAGTAAGGAAACAGCGCCAAGTAAAAAGACGTGAAGGTGCAGCGCGCGCTCAAACTCACACCTCTCTCCTGTCTCACCACCTGTAGACCCTCTCACTGCACAAAAGGTTGCCTCACACACCCAACTCCTCTCACGCAGCTCTTCCCTCTCCCCCTGCCTGACGACCCTCCACCCGACCCCAAAGAGACGTCCCGCCTAGAGCGTGGTAAGGGGAAACCAGTCCCACGCCAGTCCCACGCCAGTCCCACGCACCTCTTTCCTCTCCCTCCGCCTGACGACCCTCCAGACGATCCCAGCGAAGCCACCGACGGGGCCCCTCCCGCGCCCCCTGCGGGCATCTGCGCGTTTCCCCCGCGGCGGGGGCTCTCGAAGGGCGCGAAGGCGGCCTCCCGCTCCGCCGCGAGGTGCTGCGCGCGCTCAAACTCGCGGAGCACAGCTTGGAAGTCCTTGGCTAGCTTTGCATCGCTAATCTTTTGTGTCGCCTGTGTAGATGATGAGGAAGGAAGACGGGAGGAGCGGGGAGGGAGGGATGCGTGGGGGTAAAGGGCGGGTGTGTGGGGCGGGAGGCGAGGGAAGGGGAGATGGCACGCAAAGTGACACCAACGGGGTGGTTGCGCGCAAAAGGATTGGGTAGTATGAGGGCCAGGTCGACGAAGGCGGACGGGGAAGAGGAGAAGCGTGGGGTGGTAGGAGAAAGTGGAGGTGGGGGAACAGGGAGGGGGAAGAAAGGGGGGAAGGTGGGGTGTGAAGGAGATGGCACTCACGCTGACGCCAGCGGAATGGTCGCGCGCAGAGGCATCCTTGAGCTTCTGCGCCGTGTCCTTGGCCAGATGGCTGATGTACTGCCGCGACTTGTGCCTGCCGTTGACGGACGACGACGAGGAAAATCGGGAGAAAAAGGAAGTGACGGAAATGAGGATGTTTGCAATGAGAATTCAAGTAGCACGGCAGAAGGCCAGGGCTGCGCACGAATGAGTTCTCGAGACGTGCAAGAAAAAACCGAGCACAGGGACGAGAAGGAGAGGACTAGGATGAAGACGCAAGCAAGGGCTCGAAGGCTCTCAGGTAGGAGTAACATATTCCGGTCCCAAAAGCCACGTGATGATGACAGACGAAACCCTAACGGCACGTGGGTGCCGGTACAGCTTCTCACGGAGTTCAACAGCGCTCTTCGTGCTACTCAGTGTGCTGACAGCACGATAAAAACAAATTGTTTAATTAATTTAACAAAAATCCTTGGCTCTTCGTGATCTATATATGATAATCTCGCCGTACAGCTTCTCACGGAGTTCGACGGTGTCCTTAGCGGTACCCAGCGTGTTGACGAGCCGCTTGAACGTCCCCACAGCCGTGTTCATCTGAAACACGCCTGACGCCACCGCCTGACTTGACGGAACCGTCTGACTTGACGTCCCGGAAGTCGGCCGACCGACTCCGTTCATACCCCCACCGGCAGGGCCCGACGACCGGCCAATGTCCTGAAAGCTCATGCTGACGTGGCGTCGTGGAGCGGTCTTAGTGACTTCGCAATCTGAAACGCCTCGCTTCCACTTCGCAGCTACCTGAAATTAATCCTATGTAAACCACTCTCTCTCAGTATTCTAAAACGTTCAACACGATGGCACAGAGCGGTGGTTTAAAAAGATCACGCGTGTACCTACTGTTGCGCGGTTCTGCGTGATCCTGCTAGATGACTAACATGTCACTCAAGGGCTAAACTCCAGCCACTTCGAGCCTGCTCAGCATCCACCCATGCTCAGCATGCTCCTGCTACTACTATTGAAGGTTCTAACTGTCAAGCAGATTGCTCGTGTGTACAACTGCTGCTGCCAGGCTAAGAATATTAGGCTTCATAACGATTCACGGATTAATCGAACATTTCCTCGTCAAGTCTCACGACTCACGGAACGCAAGAAACAGCAATCTGTTTCTCCTGCGCGGTATGTGAGGCCTACCAAGCTGAACCTCTTTTTCTACCAAACAAATTCTAGGGTAATCTGTACTGTGATAGAACCTAAGGGGGTGTCCGAAGTGAAACGTCGACATCCGCTGACATCCATTTGGGGATGTCGATGAATATCAGCCCTCGGATCGGGGATTCCGACCGTCAGGATTCGCCGACATCTGCCGACATCCATCGACGTTTCACTTCGGACACGCCCTAATCCGGTAGCAGCATGGCAACTTCTAGAATGCGGAAAAGCCCGTTTCGCGTCTGCGGAAAAGAGCACAACTGAACAACCACCAGCAAACTCTGCACTGCCTGTGGGAGAACGAATCTGTCTGAACATCCCTAATTCAACTGTCGTTGCTTGTTGGAACAGGGAAGTGACGAATCGTTGCAAGTGCGTGATGGTATGGTGCGATCTGGTTTGATGTGGTTTGGAAAGATGACGGTGAGGTGAGGCGAGCAGCTAGACACGCTGCACACGGCTAAGAGTGGGCGAAGACATCCTCGCCTAGAAATTTCCGTTACAGACAGCAGTCCTGATAACCCACGTTATTGGTATGGGCACCTTTTGCCAATGAACCAAAACGAGGAACTTTGATATGACATGGCTGAATCATCCATAATAAAGAAAACCCTGAAATCACTAAAGATTTTTCCATACAGATATTCGTCCGTCATTCTACGACACGAGTATGACCAGTCATAAATGCCATAGCCTGTTTTCGGGGAAATACACAAACATACCATCACAATCTGCATTTTATAACAGAGAGGTCCAAAATGTACATATCTAATTACATAACTATCTGCAGATTCCCGACTATTGATGAGGAGAATCCGAAGATGTCTTTCCACATCAGACGCGAAGCGTCCAATCTCTCTTCCTGTGGACCCCCACCCCCACCACTTGGGGCAGGGTGGTGGGTCCAGCACTCAACAAGCGTGGTGCTTGTGACCCTCCTTGCTCATCTGGCGTGGCGGAAAATGAGTGGTCGACTGTCCCTGCAGCACGTCTCCACAATTAGGAGGTGTCCAGCTCGTACATTTACTGTTCGCAATCCCGCTCAGTTACCACATTTTCTGTTGTAACATTGTATTGAACGTGTCCTACGGACACAATCAGCTTTCGTTCACAGAACGGCACGCCCCCTGCACGTACCTCGAGTCGTCTGACTCACGTTACTGGAATCAGCGGGGACACGAACAAGGGTACAGCACCGCGTCCTAGCCACTACAGTAGTGTCCCATGTATCGCTTGCACAATTTCGCCAGTAGCTCGCTACACTCGCCAACACACCCCCCCCCGCCTGCACAAAAATTCGTTAGCCATGATTGACGGGGGAAACTGTTACCTCGTTTCGAACCCAATCAGAGCACTGTTGATTTGTGTGGTGGAGAACGTGTCCGCGCTCCTGAAATTACAGGTAGGTGGGACTCAACTCACAATGCATTCGTTTATAGGTACAGTGAAATTTTTTGAACCTCGAGACGTGTGTTGGCACTAAAAACCCCGAAATGAACAAACTGGACACGCCCTTAGAGTCGGGGATGCGGTTGAGCTTCATCCACCTCCTTCCTTCACGGAGCGCGGCTCGTGGCGAGATTTGCAGCCCCTGATCGCAGCACGTTCCCGTGCGATCCTGTTCGCTCGAGTTGCGAAGTTTCAGGAGGGTGTTGCGACACTCCATCCGTGTCTCGCAGGGTGTCGCCTGCATCACATTTACAGAGACGGAACGCGCCAGCAGAGATCAGACCGCGCGTCGGAATGTCAGAGACAGCCCCGGGGGAAATCTAAACCGTCCGCTGTTCTACATGTACACACAAACTGAACAAGCGAAATGGCATATCAACCGTCCGATCAGCACACAGGTCACGAAACCGATGAGAGGTGGTCACATCTACTCTCGAGGTGTGTGTGTACTACCCAAAAAGCAGGTAGGCAGGCGACGAACAGAGAGGAGGGAAGAGTGGAGAGTCAACATAGTGAGAAGCTCATTTCAGCTCGCACAACCAGCGAATAGAACAAGACGTAGCCACGAACACGCGAGAGCAGTCTAGGTAGGGACTCGAGAGTGAAAGAAGGCGGCTTGGAGGCGACAGGTCACGTAGAACTGCCTTGAAAGTGACGGGCGTGCTGGTCGGAGCCCTTTATCCGTTTGCGGGAGCCATAGACGTTCAGCCTTGCTAACCAGAGCGCTCTTTTGTCGCCTAAAGACGCGTTATCCATCAATTACATCGTGCCTGGCATTTAGTGCTGCCAGAGACTTGCCTAGTTGTCGCCTTGTTGACGTGTCTCTGATTCTGACAGGTCCTATTACCGCAGTTATAACTCTGTTCGCTCAGTCAGAAGGTTCGTAGGCGTCATCCGTTAGTTACCGTGTACTATTTCCAACTGATCTTGCACTTTCCAGGTGTTTGGATAGCTACTTCTGCTGGTAGTTAGCGAATTGTCTTTGGCGTCTGATCAGGCGATCGTAGGCTATCTTGATCACAATCCCAGCCACTGATCTAGCTTGTAGCGAGCACATGGCAAACAGCAGTCCGGAACCTCACCTACTTAGAGTTTGCAACACGTGGTTGACTAATGGCCGAGCAGCAGCAGAAGCGACTATTCTAGTAACTGGAGGAGCAGGGTACATCGGTAGCCATACATGCGTCCAGCTGCTGCATGAGGGCTACAGGTAACAGTCCCTAGTCGAACCCCCCAATCCCCCCTCCCACCCTTCCCCCCTCCTCCCCCTCTCCCCCCCTTACTTTTTTTTTGTTCCTCGTCGACCAGTTCCTTCAGCTTCTGTACGTCCTTTCTTTAGCTCCTCATGATACGTTTCTCTGCGATTTCGCTGGGACATGCTCCTCACTGATATGCGTGGCTACATGGTGGTTGATGTAGTTCCTCCGATTTATCTGCCACGTGGTGTCCTCAGAGTGGTTGTGGTCGACAACCTGGACAATTCATCGGAGCAAGCCGTGAAGAGAGTGGCGGAGCTCGCAGGCGAGAATGGCAGGAACTTGCAATTCTTCAAGGTCAGTCGAGAGTGCTTTCCGTTGTTTACGTTAACACTCTTCAAGGCCCGTCAAATCTGCTCTCCTAATCATTTACATTAACATTCTTCAACGCCAGTCAAGAGTGCTTTCCGAACGGAATTATACAAATGCTCGACTGACAAGACGCAGTTATGGTACTGGCCTGAAATGTTGTACATACGTACAAACTAGTAAATGGTGCAAACTACAGACATCCCCAGAGGAATAATGTTGCTGATTGAATTGAGTGCAGGTTGACTTACTTGACAAGGAGACACTTGAAGAGCTCTTCAATCAAATTCAGTAAGTCTAGAATCCAAGCACCAGACCTGAAAAAGGGCAGGCATTGAAAACAAACCATTCTTCCGGACTGCAATTTTCCATTACTTAAGTGTGTATTGACTCGTCGAAGTTGAGTTTTGAAGCGTGTTAGAACTCGTCACTGTAAAAGCGGGAGGGAGCCTGAAGCAATTAAGCATGGAGTCAATGAAAGTAAGACGCATTGACTATCTTGCAATGTCACATTCGCAGTTTCGACGCGGTGATCCACTTCGCGGGGCTGAAGGCCGTTGGAGAGAGCGTCAAGTTCCCGCTCAAGTACTACCAGAACAACGTCACCGGCACGCTCAACCTGCTGGAAGTCATGAGCGACCACGGCTGTAAGAAGGTACGCTTCATAAGTTTTTGTTTTCCCATGTTTCAGCTCCTTTCCATGATCTCCCATCCTCGCGGATCATGTAATCATCTTCATCAGCCACGGTGTACGGCCAGCCATAGCAGGTCCCGAGTCAGCTACTCAAGAATTCCCTCGCTCCCACCACAACGTTTTGTTTTTTACACCCTCGAATCTTCTCTCATCCCCTCTCTCACAGATCGTGTTCTCTTCGTCAGCCACGGTGTACGGCCAGCCATAGCAGGTCCCGAGCCAGCTATTCAAGAATTCCCTCGCTCCCACCACAACGTTTTGTTTTTTACACCCTCGAATCTTCTCTCATCCCCTCTCTCACAGATCGTGTTCTCTTCGTCAGCCACGGTGTACGGCCAGCCATAGCAGGTCCCGAGCCAGCTATTCAAGAATTCCCTCGCTCCCACCACAACGTTTTGTTTTTTACACCCTCGAATCTTCTCTCATCCCCTCTCTCACAGATCGTGTTCTCTTCGTCAGCCACGGTGTACGGCCAGCCATAGCAGGTCCCGAGTCAGCTATTCAAGAATTCCCTCGCTCCCACCACAACGTTTTGTTTTTTACACCCTCGAATCTTCTCTCATCCCCTCTCTCACAGATCGTGTTCTCTTCGTCAGCCACGGTGTACGGCCAGCCGAAGCAGGTCCCGTGCACGGAGAACGACGAGCTGCAGACGCTGAACCCGTACGGCCGATCCAAGGTACGACTGGGTACGACGGGCTTATCAAAGGATCGGCAGGTTAAGGTTAAGGTGTACGGCAGATCAGATGGATGTACTATGTGTACCATGGCAGTAATTTCCAGTAATCGGGACCCGATTACTTCCCCTGCATTAACAGTCAAAATCGCCATTACACGCCCTTCGTGTGTTTCGTTCCGAACATCCCCGTTACAAACCGCCTCGCGTGCCGTGCTGTGTTCTGCAGCTGTACATTGAGCGCGTGCTGCAGGACGTGTAAGCGTCGGACGCCACGTAGAGCATCGTGCTGCTGCTCCCATCGCAATTGTGTTTCGTGCCAAACATCCCCGTTACAAACCGCCTCGTATGCTGTGTTGTGCCGTGCTGTGCTGCAAGCAGCTGTACATCGAGCGCGTGCTGGAGGACGTGTACGCCTCGGATGCCACGTGGAGCATCGTGCTGCTGCGCTACTTCAACCCCGTGGGCGCGCACCCCAGCGGGCGCATCGGGGAGGACCCGCGCGGCATCCCCAATAATCTGATGCCGTTCATCCAGCAGGTGGCGGTCGGGCGACGGACGCATCTCTCGGTGTTTGGGAGCGACTATCCCACACGTGATGGAACCGGGGTGAGTGGGAGGAGTGCGGGTGAGCATCGGAGGGTTGGGTGAGTGGTGTGGGGTATTCGTGGGGTTTGTTTCGGTGAAAAGGGCGCATCGGGGAGGACCCGCGCGGCATCCCCAATAATCTGATGCCGTTCATTCAGCAGGTGGCCGTGGGGCGACGCACGCACCTGTCGGTGTTTGGGAGCGACTACCCCACACGCGATGGCACAGGGGTGAGTGGGAGGAGTGAGGATGAGCGCGGGAGGGTTCGAAGGGAGGAGGTGGGGGGGTATTGACGGGAACGAATCATCATGCCTTCATTTCTTCATGGCGCCTCGAAGGGAGCCATGGAGCCGACGAGCTAGCGCCATTTTTCCTCCTAGTGGTAGATCGAAAGGGAATGAGCCATGACTTGAGCTATTTTCACGAGGTTGCAGCTGCCAGTGCATTTGTTGCAGGATGCTTTCCCGTTGGTGGTCCCCACGGTCCCCTCAGCAGTGGCATTCAATGTGCAGGTCACAATACTTGTTGTATTTTATTTACCTGTGACAACGTGCTTCGCACCATTTTCCCCCATTCCGTTCCGCAAAACAACAAGCAAAACAACGCATGTTCCTGTTCCAGTGCTGTTTCTTGCTTGTGGTCATTGAAGGGAGTTTTTGAGAATTCTAAAAAACTCCCTCATGTTCTTGTCCCAGTGCTTTTTCTTGAGAATTCTCAAAAAACATAAACTGCAACTCATGTTCTTGTTCCAGTGCTGTTTCTTGCTTGTGGTCATTGACCCCCCCTCTCTCCCCACCCTTCCTCCCCCCTTTCCCCCTCCCCTGACGTGTGACGTGGATGCAAACCCTTGTGACGTGGCATGACCAGGTGCGGGACTACATCCACGTCATGGACCTTGCTGCAGGCCACGCAGCAGCACTGAGGCGAATATTCATGTGCCAGGCTGGAGGTACGTGACGTGGCAGCCAGATGTAGATGCTGGAGCATCGGCTCTTTTTTCCATAATGTGCCTTTCTACGCCTCTGTCTCCGCTAGTCTAGAACCCCTCGTTGTGGTCGGTACTCTGGCAAAGACCTCCAGTGCAGAGACCCTTTGCACTCCCCTTGCACTCCCCTTGCGCTCCCCTTGCGCTCCCTCACACTTCCCTTGGCTAAACCGCACCCCTTCGAACTCCCCTTCCCCATTCCATAACCTCCAGGTTGTGACGTGTACAACCTGGGCACAGGCAAGGGCACCACAGTGCTGGAGATGGTGGCTGGATTCGAGAGGGCATGTGGCCAGGTGAGAAATCCCTGCTGCTTCTTCCCCTCTACAATCCCTACACAAACATTGTGGTTCTCCATAATAAACCACCTCTGAGCCGTTTCAATACTGTTGTAGTCCACTTATGCAGTCGCACGTCGATGAGATGTCGTTTTTCCGACTCCTGCTTTTGACCTTCGCTTCTCGCAATAGCCATACCTCATATTCATTGAGTGTGCGTGCTCTGCATTCATTAATCATTACCTGGGTTGTGTGGCTGGCCTCGATGCTTCCTGTCATGCAGAAACTTCCCGTGAAGTTGTGTCCTAGACGGCCAGGAGACTGTTCTGAGGTCTTTGCATCCACAGACAAGGCACAACAAGACCTTGACTGGAGGTGAGATGAGATGTGCTGTTTTTGCATCTAGGGTTGACTTTGAGTTCATGTGCTTCTCTCTTTCTTGTGGCCTAAGTCCATTATTGCGAGCATGCTTATTTGGTGCTCTTATCACCTGTGTTTAATATTCTTCGCTTTACCGTGGATTCGTTCATGCAGCGCTACACGCACTGTAGAGGACATGTGCCGCGACCAGTGGAACTGGGCGCGGCAAAACCCAATGGGGTATGCAGCAGACGAAGATAGTGAGGAGGGGGAGGAGAGTGGAGCAGGAAGGGATGCAGTAAATGGAATTGGTTCTCTTGGAGTTTTCAAGAGCAGAGGCATGGGGTGCCGAAAAGTCTCACTTATTAGCATATCGCCAATTTCGAGTTGCGGGTCTCTGGGGTCGCTCGATGACTACCCTCGTCTTGAAGGCCAACAAAAAGTTTTGTGACAATTGGGTAGCGGCATCGGGGTGGAGCTGCATGGGAGCGTGTATCCTGTGTAGTGTGGGTAGGATCTGCCATTTGGTTAATTTATGCTCCTCTTTTAGCATCATGTTGTCAATAGGTGATCTAATTAGGACACCAATAAAACCGTTTTTGAAAGGTGATGATGTTCCACTGAATCGTTCTAGCTCCTAGAATTTTTCATAATGCACTGCACTCTGACACGATGGTGGACCGAACTGGTCGGCTCAGCAGAGAGGTCCCACGTGGCGACGTGTCGGCAAGCGCTTTGGTGACGACACGTCATGGATCGGGTCCGTTACGTCAGTCGAATGCATCTTACTTGGGCGACATTTTTAAAGTGGATAAACGCTTTCCTTATCGCCTAAATTTGTGAATGTTTCGAAAGTATTAGTGTTGCACCACCTTGAAGTCCCCACTAAAAGCAGGCAATCCTCGTCTGAATGATGATATGGAAGGAATCCTTCCACGGTTTGAAGTAACTACGAGACCCGAGTGCGGGATAATTTCACAGACCTGACCTTGCATCCGTCTAGTTGCCTCCGCCCCGCCTCCCCATTTCTGTGCTTTTTTTCCTCGTCAAGCAAGCAACCTTCACCCCCCCCCACCCAACCCTTCCCAGTTCCAATCCGAGCCACCCTCCCAACATTTTACATATCTCGTTCCTGATTATCTTTCATTGCTCCTTGCTCTATCTTGCTCTGACATTCCTTGCGCATATTCCTAGCCGACTGCCCCTCCGGCCGCTGCTCCTGTTGCAAGGAGTCCTACGCTTTTCTGACTGCAGCTTCTTAGGCTGCGCTTGAGTTCTTCTGCTTGGCGGCTTATGTCAGCAACGATGGTGGGAACCGTGCGCTATGTCCTGCTTCTAGCCCTAGTCTCGCTTATCGTCGTCCCTTTCGTTCGCGCGGACGATGACGGATTCGATAACACCGTGCAATCCGATAAGATCGTCGATGATGCCTCGGATAATATCTTGGGATCTACGGAGGTGAATCATGTCCTCTCCAAGCTTCCCGCCAGCCACCCGCTGCTCGGCGCGCTGCGCAACCCGGCGGAACACTTCGCGCGTTTCATCCACCGTTTCAACAAGTCGTACGCGGCGGATCTCCACCAGTACCGCGCGCGCCTGCGCATCTTCCGCGCTAACCTCCTCCGCGCGGCGCAGATCCAGCTGCAGGACCCTTCCGCGGAACACGGCGTGACTCCCTTCTCAGATCTCACCCCAGAGGAATTCGCCAAGACGCATCTTGGCCTGCTGCCCGTGGATTCCGAGCGGTCCGCGCGCAGCGCATTTCTGGAGAGCCTGAAAGCGGAGGGACGACTGGAGCGGTCTGAGCTGCCGACGGGGGATCTTCCGGAGCAGTTTGATTGGCGCGAGAAGGGCGCGGTGACGGGCGTTAAGAATCAGGTACGTTCGAATCGGGAAATTTCTATTGGGACCTGGTTCAGAGATAACCATCGGGGGGAAGAGGGCATGGGGATCGGGTTTGGCGCGAGAAGGGAACGGTGGAGGGTGTCAATCCGTCGGCCCATCCTGCTGCATCTCGCTCTTCGCCCTTGTCTCTCCCGCTCCATCCAGGGCATGTGCGGTTCGTGCTACGCGTTCAGCGCCGTCGGCGCGTTGGAGGGGGCGCACTACTTGCAACCCCCTCTGTCAATTCTGACCTCTCCTGCTCCGCCTCCCCTTTCCGCGCTTGCTTGCGCCGCCTCCTTCTTTTCCCACCTCCTCCCCACCCAGGGCATGTGCGGGTCGTGCTACGCGTTCAGCGCCGTGGGCGCGTTGGAGGGCGCGCACTATCTGGCCACGGGCGAGCTCATCAGCCTCAGCGAGCAGCAAATCGTCGACTGTGACCATAACGTGAGTGGGGAGGATGTGACTGTAACGTGAGTACGTATGTTTGACCATAGGGGGCAAAGTCAGCAAGCAAGCGTAGGAGGCCGCGCACCATCTGGCGACGGGCGAGCTCGTCAGCCTGAGCGAGCAGCAGGTCGTCGACTGTGACCATACCGTGAGTGGCAGTGGCAGCATGTGACTGTACCGTGAGTGACCATAACATGCTCGTGAGATCAGAGCAGTCAGTAGTTACCGATTCACTCTTTCATGGTGCTTGTTATTCCGAGTGCCGTGCCGCATGAGCAACAAGGGGTGACTGGCACCATCGCACCCCCCTTTTTGCGTGTTTCACCTTGCAAACTGAACAAGAGTATAAGTAATGTGTTCCGTGTGCATCTACCCGCTTCTCCCCCCTCCCTCCCTCGCATCCCGCTTCTCCTCAGTGCGACCGTAAGGAGAAGGAGGCGTGTGACTCTGGCTGTGGCGGCGGGCTCATGAACAACGTGTTTCGCTACATTCAGAAAGCGGGAGGGCTTCAGAAAGCGGAGCAGGAGTATGGATACACGGGCAGGGAGGGGCGCTGCCAGTTCGAAATCAAACCCTCATTCTCACCTCTTCCCCCTCTGTCCTCCTCCCCTCCTCCAACCCTTGCCCTTCCCTTGTCTCCCTTGTCCGATTTTGCCTTTGCCCTTCTGATTTATACAGTGCGACCCCAAGGAGAAGGAGGCGTGTGATTCCGGCTGCGGTGGTGGGCTGATGAACAACGTGTTTCGCTATATTCAGAAGGCCGGGGGGCTGCAGACAGAGCAGGAGTATGGCTACACTGGCAGGGAGGGGCGCTGCCAGTTCGACGCAGGGCGCGTGGCAGCGAGAGTAGAGTCGTTTGTTGAGGTGCCTGAGAAGGACTATCAGATGCAGGCACACCTGGTCAAATACGGCCCGCTGGCAGGTGAGAACATTGCTTTGTGTTTAGGCATTCGTGTAGCTGTGTGAAAGAGGGTGGGTGGGTGGGCTGGCTGGCTGTGAGCCGCGAGGGTGGAGTCGTTTGTGGAGGTACGTACCTCGGAAGGACGATCCGATGCAGGCCCACCTGGTCAAATATGGCCCACTGGCAGGTGAGCGTTCTTCTTTACACGCTTGAAGGATTGGAAGGGTGGGCGGGAGTGCAAGGGAGTGTGAGTGAGAGTGCAAGGGATGGCGTTGGGGCAAGGAGTATGGATATACACGGGCAGGGAGGGGCGCTGCCAGTTCGACGCAGGGCGGATGGAGTGAGGGTGGAGTCATGCGTCGAGGTGCCTCCAAAAGATAATCAGATGCAGTCCCACCTCGTCAAATACGGCCCGCTGGCAGGTGAGTGAGAGGCGGCGGGCAGACTCTCTCAGTGTGTAGTGCTGTGAGGGGTGTGAGTGTACCCCTGAGGAGCAGACAAGGAGTAGCGAGGTTTGAGTCGTTTGTTGAGGCGCCTCAGAAGGACTATCAGATGCAGGCTCGCCTGGTCACGGCCCTTTCGTAGATGAGCTGGTTAGTTGTGTGGGGAGGTATGTGAAGGGCGTGTTCTTCCCTCTCCTCTGCAACCGCCATGGCTTGAATCACGGGTTGTTGATGGTGGGGTATGGTTGGCACGGGTTGTTGATGGTGGGGTATGGTTGGCACGGGTTGTTGATGGTGGGGTATGGTTGGCACGGGCTCTCTTCCGCTTCTTTTGTAATCACACAGACAGTTATCACTCCCTTTTAACAAAAAGAATTTCTAAGGATCTTGGATGCTTCTGCGTACAAGATCTCGAGATGTTACAACGTTAAGTGCGTTAGAGATTGTTTAATGTTGTAACACCTTGAGTTCTTGTACGGAAGAGCACCCAAGATCCTTAGAAATTCTTTTTGTTTTCATTGTTGTCACTTACGTTCAACCAAAATGCGTGTTTTTACGTCAAGAATGTCTCCTGTCCTCTGCTCTGCAACCTCCATGCGTTGAACCACGGGGTGCACATGGTGGGGTATGAATCACACGGGTTCTCAATTACCACCTCTCTTGCCCTCCCCACGCCTTCCTGTCCCCCTGCTTCGTCCCACTCTTCCCTTCCCCACTTCTACCCTTTCAGTTGCTCTCAACGCCGACTGGATGCAGTCATACGTGAAAGGCGTCTCCTGCCCTCTCCTCTGCAACCGCCATGCCCTGAACCACGGTGTGCTCATGGTGGGGTATGGGTCACACGGATTCTCCCCTGCCCGCCTGCGCTACAAGGACTATTGGGTGATCAAGAACAGCTGGGGCAGCGCGTGGGGCGAGCAGGGGTATTATAAGCTGTGCCGGGGCAAGGACGAGTGTGGGATCGACTCATATGTGTCTGCTGTGGTGGCTGTGAAACCTGCAGCAGGGGTAGCGACTCAGTAACGGACGTGCAGTGACACAGGGAGAGGCGTGGGTCGAGCAGGGATCCTATAAGCTGTGCTGGGGGAAGGATGGGTGCGGGATTGACTCGAATGTATGCGCTGTGGTGGCTGTGAAACTGGATGGTGCTGCTGCTGCTGGTGGGGATGAGGTTGGGGTAGTAATGGAGTAAGGAGAGGTGAAACAAGGAGGTGGGTGGTGGGGATTGGGGAGGGGGGCGGAGGTTTTACTGCGTTGGGTCGTACCGGTTGTCCCCTGCACAGGTTCCTCTCCCCTGCGCGGCTGGTTGTGCTGGTGAGAGGAATCTGTGTGCTGGGTTGGAGAATGGAGTGAGTAGCTTCATCAGAGTAGCAATTTCGTGACTGCTGGGAGGCGGTTACCGTAGATTGCTGTCGGGATTGCTGTCTGGAATGTTTACACCATGAAGGTTATGGATCTCGAATCACTCAAAGATGTTCGGATATGCACTGTTTGGATTTTGTTTGAAGCGCTTCTTCGAAGTTGGGCATGTTTTCTGCGTCGTGTGAAAGTTGGGGGAGCACTGAACTCTGGTATCAGTTGAGAACATTGCACCCATGGTACAAGCCACATGAAATTTGAGACATCTCAAAAAACGGTGCATCCATGGTAGAAGACACATATGAGTTGATTGAGAGAGTGACTTTGTTACAGCATGGACCTCCCAAGTGACTACAGGAAAAGTGACCCCAAACATCTGAGATGTTACGATGTACTACGAAGCTTCTAAACAGCAGGATTCTTTGCATCCTAGTATGTAAAATATTGTAACAATTTCGTGTTAGACAAGCATTTGTTAGCTATAGCATGTCCAACTTCATTCCTCACAGGAGATGTGATTTGTGACTTGGAAATTGTAGACATCTTGCACGGTCATGTACCATATCAGATCTATTTATGAACAGTGAAACACGCCAGCCGTGGAAATTGCAGCTTCAGATGGTCGTGAGAACGATCCTGCATAAGAGAGCTCGAAGTAGGACCACCAAAAAAGCGTGAGAGCTGTTTGTAACGAAACAACGACAACAAAGGTGCTTTTAAAACAATACATACACGATCGTTTCACACCAACAACACTTGGACATGGTTTGGGATGTTACCTGTATTCCCACGCAGCCATTGACATCCAGTGTTTGCAGGGAGGTACAGCAAGAGGCAGAAAGGACGACTTTTTAGCCGACTCACGAATCATTTGGAGCCTTACCTGTATTCCCACGCAGCCGTTGACATCCAATGTGTGCAGGGAGGTACGGCAGGAAGCGGAGAGGGCAGCCATGGCCGCATCTGTGACCCCCCTTATGCCGTGTAAACTGGGGAGGGGAGGGCAGAGAGGGCAGTCAGAAAGTGCAGTGGGCGAGAGAGGAGGCAGAGAGGGCAGGTATGGCCGCCTCTGTGACCCCTCTTCTGCCGTGCAGACTGGGAAAGACGGGGGGAGTGCGTATGGAGTGGAGCAGAGGGGAAGAGGGACAGCGAGAAATGTCATTTGAGGGTAGGAATGGCCGCATCTGTGACCCCCCTAATGCCATGCAGATTGGGAGAAACTGAAGGGAAGTGCGTATGGAAGGGAGGCGGCAGGAAGAGAGGGAGAGAATGGGGGCTTGACATGGGAGAGCGGAGGTAAGAATCAGAGAGGGCAGACATGACCGCATATGTGACCCCTTATGCCATGGAGGCTGGGATAGACAGAGACAGTGAGTGCGTATGGAAGGGAGGGGAGCAAGGAGAGAAAGAAGGTACTGAAATGGGCATTTTTTACGTATCTAAAAGCAGCAGACATGGCCGCAACTGTGACCCCTTATGCCGTGGAGGCTGGGAGAGGAGGAAAAAGGGAGGTGGAAGGTGAAAAAGAGAGAGGGGGGGTGAGGAGGGGAAGGTGGAAGTGTGGAGTGAATGGGGGGCGTGGGATGAGATACTTTGTGTCCCAAAGAGAATGCGTGTAATTTTTCTAGCAGATTACTCAGAAGAACATACCTTAGAAGCTCGATATGATGACAGGACGATGCCACTTGGATGAGGCCTTGATCCGTTATAAGCACACACCTGGGGTGAAGATACAGGCACAGCAAGGAATACAATATAAGCAGCACACTACAGGCAGCTGCACTATAAGAAGCGCACTAGAAGTAACGTACAACTAGGGAGGACACTATAAGCTATAAGGGGGTCACATTGCAATCCGCCCACTAATATAAACAGGCAACAAAAACCATAAGCGACACAGTACAAGCAGCATACCATGAGAGGTTGAGTGATACGAGGTGAGTGCAGCGTGCAATGCCCTCCAGTCCAGTGTCGGTCAGATGCTGTTGGTTGGAGAGGGATGCAGTGCTATAGAATGGAGAGGAGGAAAGGGAGAGACCGATTTTGAGGCGCCTCAAAAATAGCGTGCCATGCCCTTCAGTCGACTTTTGAGTCGACTCAAAAGTCAACTCTTCAATCCCTTGTCTGTGAGAAGCTGTTGGGGGAGGAGTGGGATGAGACGTGAGGCGAGATGTGACTGAGAACAAGTAGAGCACTAGCTTGTGTAGTCCAGGCCTTGACGCCCATCCCTCAGAGAGGTGAGAGCAGCGTGAACTGCCCTCCAGTCCCTCGTCTGTGAGATGCTGGAGGAGGGAAGTTACTCGAGAGACAGGATCACAAGAGAGGGGTGAGATGTGATGGTAAGGTGAGAAGCAAGACGTAACTGATAACAAAAAGAGCGATGGTTTGTCTGCTGAGTCCACTTTCAGTCGACTCTAAAGTCATTTCGGTAGACAATGCCCATCCCTGAGGGAGGTGAGTGCAGCGTGCAATGCCCTTGTGGCCTCCCTCAGGGATGACCAATCCCTTGCCACCTTCATGTGTGTTTTGAGTCGACTCAAAACACACCAGCGCCAGTGCTGATCGAGCATCTGGGATGTTTTGAGTCGACTCAAAACACACCAGCGCCAGTGCTGATCGAGCATCTGGGATGTTTTGAGTCGACTCAAAACACACCAGCGCCAGTGCTGATCGAGCATCTGGGATGTTTTGAGTCGACTCAAAACACACCAGCGCCAGTGCTGATCGAGCATCTGGGATGTTTTGAGTCGACTCAAAACACACCAGCGCCAGTGCTGATCGAGCATCTGGGATGTTTTGAGTCGACTCAAAACACACCAGCGCCAGTGCTGATCGAGCATCTGGGATGTTTTGAGTCGACTCAAAACACACCAGCGCCAGTGCTGATCGAGCATCTGGGATGTTTTGAGTCGACTCAAAACACACCAGCGCCAGTGCTGATCGAGCATCTGGGATGTTTTGAGTCGACTCAAAACACACCTGGATGACCCTTGCCGCCTCCCTCAGGGATGACCAATCCCTTGCCGCCTCCCTCAGGGATGACCAATCCCTTGCCGCCTCCCTCAGGGATGACCAATCCCTTGCCGCCTCCCTCAGGGATGACCAATCCCTTGCCGCCTCCCTCAGGGATGACCAATCCCTTGCCGCCTCCCTCAGGGATGACCAATCCCTTGCCGCCTCCCTCAGGGATGACCAATCCCTTGCCGCCTCCCTCAGGGATGACCAATCCCTTGCCGCCTCCCTCAGGGATGACCAATCCCTTGCCGCCTTCATTCCTTCACACCTTCACACACACCGCTATAGACGCAACATTCGACCATCATACCTTCATCCCGCACAGGTCGAGCACTCGCAGGTGGGAGAGGTGCCCGATGGTTGCCAGGGAATCATCTGTAAAGCTGGTGGGTGGAGGGTGGGTGTGGGGGGAACGAGGGGAGGCACGGAGGGGACGAGGTGCACTCGCAGGTGGGAGAGGTGCCCGATCCGATGGTTGAGGAAAAGAGGGGCACAGGTCTGTGAAGCTGTTGGTAGAGGGGGGGTATGGGGAGTGAGGGGGATGAGGAGAAAAGGGGCAAAATGCGTCTTCCCCTCAAGCACTCGCAGGTGGGGTAGTCGCCCGATGGTTGCCACGGACTCGTCTGTGAAGCTACAAGGAGGATAGGGGAGGGGAGTGAGGGTGGAAGTGCGGAGTGAGGGAGGGTGGGGGAGGGGAGTGAGGGTGGGAGTGGGGAGTGAGGGAGGGTGGGGGAGGGGAGTGAGGGGCTGAAGAGGCAAGGAGGTCCAGCCGCTTGCAGCTGGGATAGGCACCCGATGGTTGCCATGTCAGAGACTCATTTGTGAAGCTACCAGGCAGAAGAGAGATGAGAGGTGAAGCTCATTAATGAGGCTCATGAATGAGAGGGGCAATTCAGGAAGGAGTTTTGACGGGAGATGTTAGCGAGTGACAAGAATACCTGGCCTGGAGTAAGAGTGCGTAGAGTTTTGAGTCGCCTAAAAAAGAAGTACCTGGAGAGTGCGTAGAGCAGCAGTTCTTCCAAATGGAAGCATCCCGCTGTGATGTTCTTGAGACCCTTGTCTGTCGCTTGCACGCACCTGCTGGGTGATACACGTAACACATGCACACACACACGCATATACATCCAGGCATACACACACGCACGCAGGCACGCACATGGGGCACATGAGTCATACGCACATGGGGCACATGAGTCATACGCATTTTTCCAGACGTGGTCTGAATACGCACAGACGCACAGGCGTTCTCACACACGCACCGACCGAGGTTAAGAGAAATGAGGTGCGGAAGCAAGGTGACTTTTGAGTCGACTCAAAAGTCACTTCTGATTACACACAGACGCATGAGCAGTCTTACACACGCACCGACCGAGGTTAAGAGAAATGAGGTGCAGAAGCGACCTGCGAATCAAGCAAAGAGAACTGAACATGTTCCATTCCTTCCTGCAAGCCTTGAGTTGACTCAGCAGCACGCACCGGGTGAGGTTGAGGGACTTGAGGTGGGGAAGCGAGTCGGCAATGAAGCGAAGCGATGTGTCAGTGATGTTCTGCAGTGGTGGAGATGGGTGGAGATGGATGGAGATGGGTAATGGTGGAGAAGGTGGGAAGGTAGTGGCTTTGGGGTCTTAATGAAGGTGGGAGATTGATTCAGCGAGCAAGAAAGTGAGCGAGCTAAAGAATGATGGAGCAAGTGAGAGAGTGAGTGAACGAGTGTATGAGTGAGTGGGACACCTTGCAGCCGCTAAGGTTGAGTGGCTGTAACGAGGGGACTTTTGAGTCGACTCAAAAGTCACCTGAAAGCGAGTGGGTGCCGGTTACCTTGCATCCACTAAGGTTGAGTGACTGTAACGAGGAGCAGCGCAGCACCACTTGCTTCACCCCTGAATCAGTCACTCTGGCAGAGAGGAGGGAGAAAGGGAGGAGAGTAGGCAGGAGGGCATGTGGGCAGGAGGGCATGTGGGCAGGAGGGCATGTGGGCAGGAGGGCATGTGGGCAGGAGGGCATGTGGGCAGGAGGGCATGTGGGCAGGAGGGCATGTGGGCAGGAGGGCATGTGGGCAGGAGGGCATGTGGGCAGGAGGGCATGTGGGCAGGAGGGCATGTGGGCAGGAGGGCATGTGGGCAGGAGGGCATGTGGGCAGGAGGGCATGTGGGCATGGGAACACGAGGAGCAGCGCAGCATCACTTGCTCCACCCCTGAATCAGTCACTCTGGTAGGTGGGAGGGCGGGGAAGAGCGGGAAGGAAGAGGAGAGCAAAGGAACGAGGGCATCCGGGCATGGGAACGTGAGGGGCATCGCAGCACCACTTGCTCCACCCCTGAATCAGTCACTCTGGTAGGTGGGAGGGCGGGGAAGAGCGGGAAGGAAGAGGAGAGCAAAGGAACGAGGGCATCCGGGCATGGGAACGTGAGGGGCATCGCAGCACCACTTGCTCCGCCCCTGAATCAGTCACCCTGGCAGGTGGGAGGGCGAGAAGAATGGAGAGTAGGACGTGGGCACGGAGGGGGGAGGGGAGGGATAGGCCACGGACGGGGGAAGGGCAAAAATAAGGGGACGTATTCCCCCAAGGATAGGCCTTCCCCCCCCCTCCACGAAAAAAAAAAAACAGGCGAGAAAGAAGGGGGGGGGGGGCGGGAGGGAGAGCTCAATTGAGGTTTCAGTAGAGCGAGAAGGAGCGGAGGTTAGGGAGCAGCTTTGCGGCAGTGGGAGAAGAAGGCACGGCCAGGTGGCATTAGAGTAAGAGCAGACGGGTGGGAGGGTGGGAGGAGGGAGGAAGGAAGAACTCACTTGAGATTCCAGTAGAGCGAGAAGGAGCGGAGGTTAGGGAGCAGCTTTGCGGCAGTGGTGACCCCTTGGTCCGTGACTTGCTGGCACGCGTTGAGATTGAGAGTCACGAGGGGCTGACGAATGGGTGACGGGGGATGGATGGTGGGAGGGGTTGAAGGGGAAAAGAGGGGACTGGGATGGAGTCAGCACAGCAGCGGTGGTGACCTTTTTGGTCTGTGATTTGTTGACAGGCGTTGACATTGAGAGGCACGAGGGACTGAGACAGGGTGAAGGGGAGAGAGAAAGGGGATAGGGCGAGAGAAATGGGATAGGGCGAGAGAAATGGGATAGGGCGAGAGAAATGGGATAGGGCGAGAGAAATGGGGGAGAAGAAGGGATGGGGTTGAATGGGGTGGGTGATCCCTTGGTCCGTGAGTTGCTGGCAGCAGTTGAACCTGATAGGCTAGTGTGGGAGACGACGGGGATAGGGTGAAGATGCTTGGGGAAAGAGGGGAAAGAGTCAGCGGGTACGGGGGGGATTTCGAAAAGTGACCCAAATCACAACTTTTGCTCCAGAAACCCTTGAGAGGACTAAAAAGTTTCCATGAGGTGGCACATCAAAACTTTAGCCCTCACAATGCCAGAGTGAAACAGCAAAGTGAAACAGCAAAGTGAAACAGCAAAGTGAAACAGCAAAGTGAAACAGCAAAGTGAAACAGCAAAGTGAAACAGCAAAGTGAAACAGCAAAGTGAAACAGCAAAGTGAAACAGCAAAGTGAAACAGCAAAGTGAAACAGCAAAGTGAAACAGCAAAGTGAAACAGCAAAGTGAAACAGCAAAGTGAAACAGCAAAGTGGAACATGTACCTCACATGCCACCAGCCTCACATGCCACCAGCCTCACATGCCACCAGCCCCTATTGTTGCAGGCGTGCTTTTGAGAATTCTTTTTAGGCGCCTCAAAAGTCGTCTCCTGTTTTGAGGCGCCTCAAAAGTCGTCCCCTATTGTTGCAGGCGTGCTTTTGAGAATTCCCAGCCACCACACACGCACCCTCCCTTCTTCCAGTAGCAGCAGATCTGTATCCGTGATTGGCCGGGCAAATTCCAAATCGAGATGCTGCAGGTTGCACAGGGAGACAGCTTAAAAAACCCCACCCACACCCCTTCCCAACCACCGCCACCCACGCACGCACCTTCTCCGCCAACAGCAGCAGATCTGTATCCGTGATTGGCTGGGCGAATTCAAGATTGAGATGCTCCAGGCGAGAGAAGCGAAACTAGGGGAAGAAACAGTGGGGAGAGCACTGATGAAGAGAAGCGAAACAGGTCGAAACTGATGAAGAGAAGCGAAACAGGTCGAAACTGATGAAGAGAAGCGAAACAGGTCGAAACTGATGAAGAGAAGCGAAACAGGTCGAAACTGATGAAGAGAAGCGAAACAGGTCGAAACTGATGAAGAGAAGCGAAACAGGTCGAAACTGATGAAGAGAAGCGAAACAGGTCGAAACTGATGAAGAGAAGCGAAACAGGTCGAAACTGATGAAGAGAAGCGAAACAGGTCGAAACTGATGAAGAGAAGCGAAACAGGTCGAAACTGATGAAGAGAAGCGAAACAGGTCGAAACTGATGAAGAGAAGCGAAACAGGTCGAAACTGATGAAGAGAAGCGAAACAGGTCGAAACTGATGAAGAGAAGCGAAACAGGTCGAAACTGATGAAGAGAAGCGAAACAGGTCGAAACTGATGAAGAGAAGCGAAACAGGTCGAAACTGATGAAGAGAAGCGAAACAGGTCGAAACTGATGAAGAGAAGCGAAACAGGTCGAAACTGATGAAGAGAAGCGAAACAGGTCGAAACTGATGAAGAGAAGCGAAACAGGTCGAAACTGATGAAGAGAAGCGAAACAGGTCGAAACTGATGAAGAGAAGCGAAACAGGTCGAAACTGATGAAGAGAAGCGAAACAGGTCGAAACTGATGAAGAGAAGCGAAACTAGGGGAAGAAACAGTGGGGAGAGCAAGAGGGAGGAGGAGGGACAAAGAAGAGAAGAGAGGGAGGAGTGCTTTCTGCTGGGTGATAACTGGCTGGGAGACTTTTGAGTCGACTCAAAAGGAAGAGAGGGAGGAGTGTTTTCTGCTGGGTGATAACAGGCTGGGAGAATTCCGTATTAAGATGCTCCAGGTGAGAGAAGCGAGGCTGGGGAACCGAGAGGCAGAGCACAAGACGTGGGGACAGGAGAGGAGAACCGAGAGGCAGAGCACAAGACGTGGGGACAGGAGAGGAGAACCGAGAGGCAGAGCACAAGACGTGGGGACAGGAGAGGAGAACCGAGAGGCAGAGCACAAGACGTGGGGACAGGAGAGGAGAACCGAGAGGCAGAGCACAAGACGTGGGGACAGGAGAGGAGAACCGAGAGGCAGAGCACAAGACGTGGGGACAGGAGAGGAGAACCGAGAGGCAGAGCACAAGACGTGGGGACAGGAGAGGAGAACCGAGAGGCAGAGCACAAGACGTGGGGACAGGAGAGGAGAACCGAGAGGCAGAGCACAAGACGTGGGGACAGGAGAGGAGAACCGAGAGGCAGAGCACAAGACGTGGGGACAGGAGAGGAGAACCGAGAGGCAGAGCACAAGACGTGGGGACAGGAGAGGAGAACCGAGAGGCAGAGCACAAGACGTGGGGACAGGAGAGGAGAACCGAGAGGCAGAGAGAGACGAAGCTGGGGGATCAAGCGGGACAGAGGGAGGAGCGAGGGGAGGGGGCAGAGGGGGAGCAGAATAAACAGTTACAGATGCAACAGATTGAACAGCCCCTGAGGTGCAAGTCTGAGGTGCAACAGATTGAACAGCCCCTGAGGTGCAAGTCCTCCTGCGCACACCCCACCACCCCCCAGGACCTCCCCCCCCGTGCATTCCTCCCCCACCCCCCGACCCTTTTCCCATGCGCAACCACCCTCCCCCTCCCCTCCAAAACCCCTCGGGAACCTCCTTTTCTGCGCACCCTCCCCCCGCACCCCCCCCCGCCCCCCCCCCCCCCCCCCCCCGGCCAGCCAACCTGCGGAAGAGTCTGAGCGAGCCTGGAACTGGCGCTTAGGCGCCTCGCACGGTGCATCGTACCCCTCCCCGCCCCCCTCCCCCGCACCCCCATGGGATCATTTACCCCGACCGCCAACCCCACACATACCTGCGGAAGAGCCTGAGCGAGCCTAGCACTGGCGTTAGTGGCGCCTTGCAGGGAAAGAGACTGCTCCCAACAGGGGTTCGGGTTTAGCGGTGAAGAGGGGAGGCGGAGCGGGGGTTCATGGGGGAAGAGGGTTTAGCACGGGGTGGGGTTTACTGGGAGAAATGAGACAGCGGAGATTCATCCTCGTATGCATCACGATGATCCAAATACTTATTACAAGGCGAATTAGTGCTTGTAGTGATGACAAATCAACATCGGTTTTTTTTTTTTTTTGGGAATTAGCAAGAATCAGCGCCTGTCGCGTCGCTCTCATTATTCAATTGATCTCAAAGGCGGAATTACAACCAGTAATACCTTCCACAGCGCAGGTTGATACGCGGCGGCTCTTAGATCCCTGCACGCGCACGCCGCAGCGCACAGGTCGCGCTGCGACAACCACGGGAGCACGCATCGGAGCGCCTCAATTTCTCGATGTGATTGTAACGAGCCGCGCTCGACGTGACTTTGCAGAAGGGACGGCTCTGACCCATCCATCCTAACCACGGCGCTAATTAAGTAGAGAGGAGCGAGATAACATAAAACTCGGAAGAAATAAACCTGTAAGCAACTCGAATGACGCGATTTGAAGAGACAGGAGAACGAGCCAGCAGGAATCGCAGCGCAATCAAAGGAATTATACCCTTGCGCTGTGGAACACAATATGCGGATGAAACGCATACTCACTAGCAAGTTCTTCGATTTTCGTCTTCTTTCTGAAAACGAAGAACCAAACTCGTAAGCACGTTTCATCGATATGTAGCGACTGGGTGTCAGTGTTACTCCTCAGTTGGTACCGTCAAGTCACGATACAGTAGAGCTGGCTGTTGGTGACTGTAGCTGATACGGCAGTTGTTTTTGCCATGTGGAAGAATCTGTCGTTTTTACCCACTTTGTGATTCCACGGATAGAAAGTTCCGTGACGGAACAGAAACACCTGGAACAGTTCTGCTTGCAACCCCATTTTTCGTCTAGACCAGCTATGCTGTTCAGTGTGAATGGTACAGTGCAGTGGTACAGCTGTGCTGTTCAGTGTAGCCTAGTCTAGTGGGCCCTTCGAGGGTGTTTTGTCAAGAGTTTCAGTAAAGGTTATGGGAAACCCCTTGGTAACCCCGGCTATCGGTCGTAACCCGACTACTACTTTATTTACAATGTATATGTGTACAAAAGATACAGACGAATTTGAGCATCAGGAGGCTACCTAACTAGCAATGGCCCAACTGCAATCCTAGTTTGAGACCCCCAATGAGGTCTCAAGAACCAACACCAAGGTACGCAAAGTCAGCCAAGGAGGGTGGGGTGGGAACACGCCTCGTTGGGAACGAGGTTGTTGTAACCACACCCAGATGAGCACCTGCGTAAGTCCCTTCTGGGGGGCTTGCTGAACACGCCGCAGGGGGGATTTGATCCCGGGACCTCAGCCTTCGGATAAGAACCAGCTAACTAGCTGGGCCACTTCAGGCTTGTCAAGTGTCTCAGTACAAAATGAAGAGAATATATGAAGACGCTTTTCATAAGTTACGGGTAGAGAGGAGGTTTCTTCCGAGGGAGTGGAGCAAAATCAGATTCACGGATGAAAACTTCGAGTCTGGTCTGGTCTGGAGTGGATGTGAGGCCGAACAGAAGTTCGCGTCGCAAGGATTTGATCAGCAGTTAGGTCGGGTGGAGGACCGTGTTTCTTATTGAACCCACGTTGTGTGATTTTCGCGAGCTACAGTGTTTCCACGTGAACATTTTATATGACTGTGCAGTACACACAGAGCTGTACATGAGGACAAGTTGAGGGAAGGCCTTTGCCACAAAAAGATGCCAAACGTATAAGGAGGACAGGAAAATCACTGACAGACTCACTACAGTATGCTGTACAGAGTCACCTAGCAAATACTTGATCTGGTGAACCTGTAGTGTACTGCCCTCTTATGTACTGGAATCATATTCGATAGTTCTGTTATACACTATAGGTGATTCGCCGATTCGTGTTGCCATCGGATATTGTCGCGTGTTCGAGGTTCAGTTCTCATTTCTTTTGCAAAAACTATACCTGACCAGAAATATTCAGTTCAAGCTACTGTGGGCGAACTGCTGGCAAGTTTCGGACAGACTGACCCAGTTTGCATGGTGAGGATTGCCCTGGTTGGTGTATTGTACGGCAAAAATTGGCATCGTCTTCAGTCATCCCCACGTAACCACGTTCCGGTGACGCGGAGGATCTGGAATCCATAGGGAATTGCGATTCACGTCGTGTCGTCGTCGGGTTAATGTCTTGCGGCGTGCTTGCAGCACTGAATTTGAACCGACCTGACTCAACACGTAACAATCAGCTAAATGTCACTGTAGCTAAATGTCATCTTGACACATTTTGCTTTGCATCGCACCAACTCCCATTCCTGCCAGGGTTTTCTGCCATGCTTACCGACATCCTTCCAATCTTGAAAGACTTGTTTGCTTGGATTTTCACACAGCAAACGCAGTGCTTGCAGCAAGCCTACGCAACTTCTGCTCACGGATTTCTGAGGTAGTCGGAACTGCTGAATGCAACGTAGTAAGATTGATTAGGAGTTGCCCAATGGCGCTTGCTCAGCCGCCAGTTGCGGCGCTCTCTGCGCCAGGGAACGGAGCTAGCTTATCAGACGGAGAGCACACGCCGGTCGCCGAAACGGCAGGCGGAAATGGCTCCGGAGTCGACGAGCCGCAGCTGATTCTGCGAAAAATGGCTCTGATGAGTTTGGTGGCGGCGGACGGATACCACTGGCTGAAATACGGCGAGAAAGTGCTCTCGAAAATCGGCGACCCCGTTTCTGTGAGAAGGTAAACACGCCGGGAGGGTTCGCAACCTATCCGAGGCGGCGTGAACGTTCAACAACCGTGAAGTTCACGTTTTCGAAACGGAAGAAATAAACATATTGAATGTGAGGAGTTTGACGCGACGTTTCCGCGCGGCGCGGCGGTAAGCGTCCCAAAACTCTCGAGAATTTGTAGCCATGGTGCTGATAGTTCGCAATTGAAGTCACATTCGGATGGACGTGAACTTCTCAAAGAATCTGTTCTCACATTCTTTGCTACAATGACAGCACGTGGAAAGGGATCTGTTCCCACCACTGACAGCAGTGACAGAACTTCTCAAAGAATCTGTTCCCACCACGCCCCCCGCCTCTCTCTGAAGCAGAGGCTACTACAAGTGAGGTGAAGCAAGCGAGAGAAGGGCGGAGCCGGCTTCCCAAGCCCAGCACGCAAGCTACGTGATTGAAGAAGGGTTTTGAGACGTCTCAAAACCCTTCTTCAATCACGAGAAGGGCGGGACCGGCTTCCCAAGCCCAGCACGCAAGCTCCTGCCTTGGCTCGAGTTACCCACATCACTCCACAGTTTTTTCCCGCCTCCTCCTCCGCCCCTTCTCAATCTCCTCTCCCCACTCCTATCGAGCCAATCACACAACAAAGAGAGGTGGGGCGGGGAGAAGGGCGGAGCCGACTTCCGTTGCCCGGCACGTGAAGTCTCCAACGTCCCTGCCCTTCGACCCGGCACGTGAAGTCTCCAACGTCCCTGCCCTTCGACCCGGCATTGGCTCCAATCACCACATCCCCTCACACCTCTTTCCCCACCTCCTCCCCGCTTTCCCCTTTCCGTCTCCCCTTCCTCCTCCCATCAAGCGGAGCGTACTAGACGCGGTGAGGCGGGCGGCGAGAAGGGCAGAGTCAGCTTCCGTTGCCCGGCCCGTAAAGTCGTCATGTCGACCCTTCTCTGCCCTTCGACCCGGCCTTGGCTCGAATCACCTACATCCCTTCACATTTCCTTTCCCACCTCCTCTTCTCCGCCTTCTGCCACCATCCCCCTCCCTCCTAAGCAGAGCATACTACAAGTGCGGAGAAGCGAGCGGCGAGAAGGGCAGAGCCGGTTTCCGTTGCCCGGCGCGTAAAGTCGTCGACGTAGACCCTTCTTTGCCATTCGACCCGGCCTTGGCTTGTATCACCTACAGCCACTCACACAACCACCCCCCACCCTCCACCTTCTCCGGACGTCTCCGCCTCCGAACCAGCACCGCCGAGCCTGGTGTTTCCGAGCCTGGTGGTGCCGAGCCTGGTGCCGAGGCAGGTGGTGCCGAGCCTGGGGCCGAGCCTGCTGGTGCCGACGAGCCTCGTGTTGGTGGTATGGACGAAGATGTGAGGATGGAGGAGGGAGGGGGAGGGGGGGAGGGTGATGCTGCTGCCAGTGGTTCTGCTGGTGATGCTGCTGCTACTGCTGGTGTTGCTGGTTCTGCTGCTGCTGCTGCTGCTGCTGCCGGTGGTGTTGTTGGTATCGACTGTAGGGCCGAGAAAACAGGTGAGACAGTTGGGCCTATTTTCATTCTTCAGAGGGCTCAAGGTGCGATTAGCCTTCAGCAGCAGTTGCACCAGCTGCAGCAGAGACAGCAGGCTCAACAGCAGCACCAGCAGCAGGAGCAGGAACAGCAGCAGCAGAAGCAGCAGCAGGAACAGCATGATCAGAAGCAGCAGCAGCAGAGGCAGCAGCAGCAAGAGCAGGAACAGGAGGAGCAGAAACAACAGGATCAGCAGAAGAAGAATATGCAGCAGCAGGAGCAGCAGCAGCAGCAGCAGCAGCAGCAGCAGCAGCAGCAGCAGCAGCAGCAGCAGCAGCAGCAGCAGCAACAACAGCAGCAACAACAGCAGCACCAGCAGCAGCAACAACAGCAGCACCAGCAGCAGCAGCAACACCACCACCACCAACAGCAGCAGCAGCAGCAATTTCTGTCGCTACTAATGGCATCCCTCCAACAGGGAAGAAACACCTCCGCTGCTACAGCCACCGCTGCTGCTACCTCTGCTGCCGTCCCAACAAACGCAGCTGTCCAAACAGCCAGAGCAGCAACAATAGGTATTGTCAATACCCCCATGGATGACACTCACCCATCTGGTCCAGCAAGCAACAGCATGATGAGCCGCGTTGCTACAACCCCCCTCACCACGCCTGCTACAGGCAGCGCTGGGATTGGCAGCGGCAGCGGCAGCGGTGGCAGCGGTGTCACCGGTGGCAGCAGCAGCATGGGGGGTGTGGGGTTCCATGCAATGCAGAATCCTGTTCCTCCAGCGGCCCCTCCTGCTTGGCTGTTCTCCCTGCTTCATGCCTCCTCTGCTCCCCCTGCTTCTGCTGCTGCTGCTGCTGCCTCTGGTGCAGCCACTGCTGCTGCTGCTGCGTCTGCAGCTCCTGGTTTCACTCCTCTGAGAGTGCCTCATGTAGTAGCAGCAGCAGCAGCAGCAGCAGCATCCGGAGCAGCACAGCACACACCCCACACACTCTTTACACACTCTGCAACACTCACAACGAAACTCACCCCCTCTACACTGACGGCCAGTACACTCACACCTTCAAACCCCACCCCATCCCTTCCAGCGACGCTGCTTCCTAAAATATCCCAAGGAATCGCCCAATCGTGCGATCCGCTGATGTCACTCGTGCCGCCCGCTTTTTGGCCGACCATGGCAGAGTACGTCGCAGCTGCCGGGAAGCTTCCCAAGTGTGTTGCCCCGCTGGGATTGGCTGTTGCCCACGTGGCAGCCCTGTCAGCAGGCTTATCCGCCATGTCAGAGAGCGGAGCAGTGAGAGCAGCAGTAGCAGGAGGAGGAGGCGGCGGAGGAGAGGCAGCAGCGGCAGCAGCAGCAGTGTTGCCAGCAGTGATAGCAGCAGCAAAGACATTGGTCGCAGAGGCAGAGGCAGCAGCAGCAGTGCTCGTAGCAGAGGCTCTCAAGGCCTGTGACAGAGAACCTCCTGCCTCTGCTAATCCCTCCTCTGCTCCTCCCTCCATTCCTCCATCCACTGCTGCTGCTGCTGCACCTGCTGCTGCACCTGCTCCTCCCCCCGCTGCTCCTAATGCGTATGTTGCTTCAGGTTCAGCGGAGCAGGCAGCGCTACGGGCCATCCTCGCAGCAGCAGCGCACGTGGCACCACAGCAGGCGATAGCAGCAGCAGCAGCACACGTGGCACCACAGCAGGCGATAGCAGCAGCTGCTGCTGCTGCTGGCATGCCACTCACTAATGCTGACTCTCACATGAGTTTCCGGGGCAGCGTAGGGGCCGACACACACAAGAGTGCTCCGTCTACCGTAGGTGCTGACACACACATAACCGCTCAGGGCAGCATAGGCGTTGACAGTGATACACACATGGGTGCTCGGGGCAGCATAGGCGTTGACAGTGACACACACATGGGTGCTCGGGGCAGCATAGGCGTTGACAGTGACACACACATGGGTGCTCGGGGCAGCATAGGCGTTGACAGTGACACACACATGGGTGCTCGGGGCAGCATAGGCGTTGACAGTGACACTCATATGGGTGCTCGTGGCAGCTTCGGCGTTGCCACTGACTCTCATATGAGCGCTGAAGTGGGCGTGAAGGAAGAGGCACACCTGAACGCCCCTGGCAGTATGGGGTTGGACGCACACTTGAGTCACCGAGCAGAGGGGAAGACCAGGCACGTGGGCAGGCACGTGGGTAGGCATGTGGGCAGACACGTGAGCTATCTGGCCATTCCCTCTCGCACCAGAAACCCCTTTGGGTCTGGATCAACCGGCCATGCGCTGCCTCAGATGAGCCATGGTCTCGTGCCCTCTTCATCCTCCCCTCTCTCTGCTCCCTCCTCCTCTCCTATCTCACCTTTATCCAGCCCAATCTACCAAACTGCAGAGCATAGCCTGCAGTACCAGCAGCAGCAGCAGCACCAGCACCAGCACCACCACCACCACCACCGCCACCACCACCACCACCAACAGCAGCAGCAGCAACAGAAACAGGTCTCTCCCCCTTACCGCCCTCTCTCTCCCCTCCCTCCGCGGCCCCCCTCGCCCCTAGCCTCTGTCAACCCATCTCTCTCCTTCACGCTCTCTCTCGTCCCCTCCCCACCCGCCAAGGCATGGAGGGGTGGCACCCTCTCATCCTCCTCACCCATCGCCTCATCTCATGCCATGTCCAACACTCCCACACAAACCACTCCCACACATACCACCCCCACACAGACCACCCCAACGCATACAACCCCAACCACACCAACAGATGGGACTTCAACCTTGGGTGCCACTCTCTCATTATCACCTGACGTTCCAGCAGCAGCAGCAGCAGTGGCAGCGGCGGCGGTGGCAGTGGCGGCGGTAGCAGCAGGGGAAGTATCAGCTAAGGCCGAGAGCGCAGGGGCGAGCAGCAGCAGCAGCAGCATTGCAAAGGCCCTAGAAAGAACCCTTTCCCTGGGGGACAAGTCAGCTACTATCAGTCGCCTGGGCCTCACTGCGAACGACCCGGCTGTTCGGAAACACTTCCCTCGCAACTCCTCCTCCTCCTCGCTGTCCACCCACTTCCTCTCCGCGCATTCTGCCTCTCTCCAGGCTAACACCGGATTGGCTCAGTCCCTTCCGAACCATGTGCTACGGGCAAGTGAGGCGTCGCCCGCTAAGAAGCGGAAGAGTGTAGAAGGGGGTGCTTTGGATTGTTTCCAGGAGCCGCGGAATGGTATAGAGGGTTCTTTTTTGGGGATGTCTTCGGCTAGTTGCTGTATTGGTGATGTCCGTGTTTCTGGCGGTTACGTGCGTCAAGATGAGAGGCAAAAGGGGAAAGTAAAGGAAGAAGAACGAAACAGCAAGGCTCCTATGGAAGGCATAGATCTTGGTCTTAGCTTGGGATAAGGTACTATTTATCTTTCCATTGGGAGTTAGCAAGCTCTTTAAACTCGTTTTTATTCTCACGTTTATAAGTTTGGCTTTGAGAGTGTAGAGCCTAAACCCCTTCATTTCTCTTAGCAAATTCTGGTTCCTACTGACTTTCAATATTCGCCCTTTTGGGATCTGTTGTGGAAATGACCAGTAGCGCCGTCGTCTGCTCTGTCGGTCGCGGTCGCCTTCTTCTCCCAAACGTCGGTTGAGCAAGTCGCACCCAGTCGTTAACGGTGCATCGCGGGTACTGTATATTTTTGGCCGTTGTTGGCCCGTGAGAATGAAGCAAACTCAATTCCAATTCCCGCTGACCCCGCCAAATTCATCTCGTCGAGCCGCTGTGATTGGTCATATTGTGCCGTCGCACACTTGGGCGACTGTGAGTCTCCTCGCAAGCGACATGTATTTACTCAGCCCTGCCCTTACTTGTTGACCGACGAAACCAGCCGCGCTTCGGGAAAGCCGCCACACCCAAGCCACGACGCTGAACCCCAAAACGAGAACATCTCGAGTCGCGCATTGGAAACGCTGGAGGCGTGAATCTTTGGAGCCGCGCGAATCTCCTTGGTTTTGGTTGCTGATTGATGGATCCACCCAAGCAGCAACACCACCGACGGTTGTTCGCAAAAACTCGCATATTCAAATAGCCATAGATATTGCATCATAATCATTCAGCTAAGGTTGCTAGTCCTACTCAATTCTAGTTCCTTAGCTCTCCAATCAAATCCAGTTTCCCCTGCTACTTTAGCATATTCACACTTGGCTTCGTTCCTCGTTTGATTCTGGAATTGTTTTCCTTCCTTCAAAGGACGCCGCACTCGTCGCCATGGCCAGGTTCCTATCGCTCGCGCTTTTGGCGGTCCTCGTCGTCGGGGTGGTTACTCCCCTGGAGGCAGCGCCGAAGATGTCGCTGTACGAGAAGAACCTGAACGACGTGATCACCGTCGTCAAGGCGAAGCCCGGTTACAAGGCTTTCGCATCACTCGTCGGCGCAATTCGTAAGTGGCTCATACACGGGTTCCGCATCAGTTTCGCTTGACAAGTTCGTGGTCGATTCTTCACTTTCAGACAATCTCTAAATCCAACGTTAAAACTATCTTTTTTTCCTTCTTTACCCCCCACCCTATCCCTCCTCTCCGCCGCCCCCCGCCCCCCCCCCCCCCCCCCCCCCCCCCCCCCTCCACCACCTTTTACTCCCGATTCCTTTACCAGTCAAGCAATCGCAGCTGAAGAGTCTCGTCCAGCAGAACCTGACCATCTTCGTTCCCAACGACAAGGCTCTTAACGACTTCAACCTCACCCAGTACGCCACGGCCGACCTCCTTAAGGTCGTCAAATACCACGCCGTCAAGGGCACGTACACCTTCGCGCAGCTGCAGGCGCTCGCCGCATCTGGCGGCAAGCTCCAGACGACCCTCGGTCTGACGATCTCGCTGACCCCGACGAAGAAGGGCGTCGGCATGTTCGGCATGGAGAAGATCGGCGCTGCTGTCCTCGATAAGGACATCTCCATTAAGCCGACGGTGGTCGCGCAGGGAATTTCCCGGGTGCTTAAGCCTAAGGGCTTCGTTATCAAGGGCGCGGGCGCGGCTCCCCCGACGACTAAGTCACCCGCGACTAAGTCTCCGACTCCTACGACTACCTCTCCTAAGACTCCTAAGACTCCCAAAGCTCCCAAGACCACCGCATAAAGTGGGTTCTTCTCTGACTCTGCCTGGTTTCGAAGACAAAAAAGTAGCCGAAGACATGTGGCTTCTGACAACGGTTGCTGGAGCTACATAAATATCATGTCGGAAAGCCAAAAATAAGGCTTATACGTTAGATTTAGACGTCAGTAACTTGTAGGCAAATGATGTAATTAATTATTATTCGTTAAATTCTGTTATGAATGAACTTGCAGAGTGCGCAGAATATCAAATAACGAGAATGAACTGATTACCAAATTACTGAATTCCGATACAATGGAAGTGACGAAGCCTAAATAGGGGAAGTCCTAGCTAGGCGGGGAGGTTGGGCGAGGATAGCTCGGTGATGGTTGCGTTTGGTGCGGAGGCGACTCGGGAGTGGTTCGGTGCGACGAAATAGGAAGGACAGGTTCGTCGCGTGACCCTCGAGATGACCTCGCTAACGAGTGCCTCATTAAGGATTTAGTAAATCCTTACAAATTCCCCTACACCACCTTAAAAAAACCAGACCCAGAGTCTACAAGATTCCTAAATCCTTACTGGGTCACATCACAACGTATGCATCCGACCCCAACTTTCGGAAGACCACCTCACATCCCCACAACCTCGCGTTCGAGCTCGACAATCTCTAACCAGCACCCAACCTCGCTGTCCAGTGGTCCCCGCCTAGAAAGACCCTTCGCTATATCAGTGCTAGTGCCATTTTCTTGATCATTAGTTGTACTAGTGTCGTATTGCCTTCCTCACACTTTATTTGTTAATACTACATAGGGATATTCCGGACACAGCTTTCCTGCAGCGGCGGAATTTGATTGGGACTGCAGGCAGTTGCGGGGTCTCATGTGACATAGCGATCAGTGCGACGCATGAGTTCACCCCTCAAAATGGATCCCGCCATCTCCTTTGACCGCGAATTAGAAACTATTGATAATTTCTGGTTGTAAACCATTTTTTCGCCAAATAATGGTGGGAATACACATTAAACTCGTAGTACCAATAATGGCGGAATACCAATTAGACTCCGTTGGTGACTTCTGGCTGTAAAAGTGTTTCCGCCGAAATTCCACCTAGCTGCGCTGTAACAGAATACACCTCAACGGGTATACCCCTTAACGGGGATAACCGGAGAAGGGAGTGCTGGGAAGGGGAGGGGGGTTGAATGAGGGAGGGGAGGAGGAAGGTGGGGAGCAGTCGTTATGAAAATGAGCTCTTGGGATTCGGTTTTCGGGTTTCCATCTGCCCATTTCGGTTTTGAGAAGTCGCAAATCTCTTGGAAATGGAGTTTAGGGCGGGTCCAACTTTGCACACTTCCGTTTTTTTCCGTATTTTGACGTCAAAACACTTGTCAAATTTGACTGTACCCCAGGGCGTACTCCTACCGTTTCCTGTCCAGTTCGGAGTGTAAAGTGCGTACTTTTGACGAGGTACATGAACGCTGCGAGGTAAAGTACTTGGGAATGAGAGTTACCAAATGTTGCGAGGGTTTCCGCATCTAGGGCGAAAAGAATAATTCACTGGCGAAAGGGTTTCTGGCGAAAAACAGGCGTTACTGTTTGACGACTTTGACGGGAAGCGATTTCGGAGACGAACCTTCGGATGTGTTCCGCACGTCCCGGGGCGCGTTTCCGAAATGAGCCCATTTAGCTGGTAATGCATATGTGTGTATATTTTCAGTTATTGCCTTTTCGTTCATTCACTCAATCTATTCGCTCTGGCTTTTTGACCGACCAATAAATCTGCGTTTCGAGAATGCCGCCACACCCCAGCCACGATGGCGATCACCAAGCCACAGATGCACCAAACAGAAAAGATTTCGAGCCGCGCATCGAAAATCTTGGAGGCGTGAAGTTGGAGCCGCGCGAATTTCCATGGTTTTGGTTTTCGATCTGACAGAGCAGCACACCACCGTCGGCAGTTAGCGAGAAACTCAGATGTTCAAATAGCCATGGATGTCACAGCATAATCACTCAGCTAAGGTTGCAAGTCCTCCTCACTTCTAATCCCTTAGCTCTCCAGCCGGACACAGTTTCTCCTCCCAATTTCGCAGCTTTTCCTTCCTTCCTTCAAAAGACTTCGCAGTCGTCGCCATGGCCAGGTTCCTATCTCTCGCGCTTTTGGCTGTCCTCGTCGTTGGGTTAATTACTCCCCTGGAGGCAGCGCCGAAGATGTCGCTGTACGAGAAGAACCTGAACGACGTGATCACCGTCGTCAAGGCGAAGCCCGGTTACAAGGCTTTCGCATCGCTCGTCGGCGCAATTCGTAAGTACCATTAACACGAGTTTCGCATCAGTTTCGCTCGACAATCAGTGGTCCATTTTTCGCCTCTGCAAACCTCGGTCTCCTTAACAGATCAGCCAAGCGGCGGCAGTCGTCCCAGCACGGCCGCGACGAGCACGAGTTGCAAAGTCGTCCCAATCCCAACCCTGACCCACTTAAATCAGCTTTTATCCCTCTCCCCCTTCCCTCCTTTCCTCCTTTCCTCCCCGATTCGCCAACCCCAGTCAAACAATCCCAGCTGAAGAGTCTCGTCCAGCAAAACCTGACCATCTTCGTTCCCAACGACAAGGCTCTTAACGACTTCAACCTCACCCAGTACGCCACCGCCGACCTCCTTAAGGTCGTCAAGTACCACGCCGTCAAGGGCACGTACACCTTCGCGCAGCTGCAGGCGCTCGCCGCATCTGGCGGCAAGCTCCAGACGACCTTCGGAATGCCGATCTCCCTCACCCCGACGAAGAAGGGCATCGGCATGTTCGGCATGGAGAAGATCGGCGCCGCTGTCCTCGATAAGGACATCTCCATTAAGCCGACGGTGGTTGCGCAGGGAATTTCCCGGGTGCTTAAGCCCAAGGGGTTCGTTATTAAGGGCGCGAGCGCGGCTCCCCCGGCTTCCAAGTCACCCGCGAATAAGTCACCCGCGACTAAGTCCCCCGCGACGAAGTCTTCGACTCCTACGACTACCTCTCCTAAGACTCCCAAGACTCCTAAGACCACCGCTTAAAGTGGGTTCTCGTCTGAAACTGCCAGGTGTCGAGCCGGGGAACCGAGCTACTATACTGTAGCCGGATACAACAGGCAGGGAACAATAATCAGGCAGCATATGACACGTGGCTTTTGACACATTATTCCCTGCTTGAAAAACCAATACGACGGCTTATACTTTAGATTTAGGTCATAACGTGCAGGCTGTGCTTCGTTGCACGGCCAGTAACGCGTAGGCAACTGATGTTTATACCTCGTTTTGATTCCCAAACGATACTTATTTACCTGGCTACTGCATGTTGGTGTTGGCCAAACATTAAAGCCCGGAATCTCGATTTTAATGTTGGTGTTACACCCTGGTATAAGAGTGTCTAATATGGCGTACAAGTATCTGCCTTTCGAAATCGATGTTTCTGGGCTTTGTGCGAACTGGTTATTCATTCATGCGACGAACGGATGTGACATTGAGACGACATGGATCCCGCCATCTTCTCTGCGGGAAACTTATTCGCCCACGACAGCGACGACGACGATTCGCCACGTAAGGCCAGCCGTTAATTATACCAACACTTTGATTCCCTTCCTAAAATCTTTTTTTTTTTTTTTTTTTTCCCTTTCTTTTCTTCAAGTCTCGCCGAAGCGTCTGTTCGCTGCTGTAGGGTGACTGGTATTAGTACAGCGTTAACTATTGTCTTGATGGAACCACAGCAAGGCTTCACAACGTAGTTGAGTTACTCCTTCCCGTCGCCGATCCCTCTGCTCTAACTTTGCAGGAGCTGCGCGGAATACCGCGGTGGAGGTTGACGGCGGAAGCGGCGAAAGCGGCGGAATCGAACCGAATGGCAGCGCGGCGGGAGACCAACGGGGATGCTCGCACGGGGGGGAAGCGGGGGAGGCGGAGGAGGCGGATGAGGGAATGGAGTATGCGGAGAGGCGACACAAATTTCCCGGGGGACAGGTGTGTTGCGGTGCGGGGAAGGGGAAAGGGGGGTTGATGGGGGGAGAGTGAGGGGGAAGAGAGGAAGAACGGGGTGAGGGTGGGAGAACAGCGGGGAAGAGAGGGGGAAGGGAGGGGGGAAGGCGGGGGAAGTGGGGTTCGGTTAAAAAGAGGTTTTAGGGTTTTCATCTGCCTAATCCAGGTACTGTTACTGTTAAATTCAATTTCCATCTGTTGTTTCCATCTAGTAGAATCCAACTCGCCCTTGCCTGTACTTCATTGCTCCTCCTACGGATTCTTCTCCCACAACGAGCGTTTTTAGTTTTTTCATAAGCTTGTTTTATATGCTCCTCATTAGTATTGTTACCACCTCGTTGCACTGGTCTTATATCAGGAGCTGCTTATAAGGGAGTTCTCCTTCCATCCAGTCAACGCCAACCTGCTCTGGCCTGGCGCCTTGTCGTTCGCTGATTGGCTGGCCGCCCGGCCGCAAGTATTGGCCGGTGCAAGAGTCTTGGAGATTGGGAGGTGAGCGGACTTTAATATGGGTTGTGGGGGCGGTGGGGGATGGGAGGGGGGAGAGGGGAGGGGGAGGGGTGGGAGGGAAGGGGAAGGGAGGTTAAGTCGGGGTTTTTTGATTGCCTCAAATTATCCCCCTTCGTTACGATTTATCTTGGTGTTTCCTGTCATTTCGATTTCGTGGTCTCAAAATCCTAAGCCTTGAACCCCACTATCTGTTGTGATTGTAACGAGGGTGCTTGCAGTGGGACAGGTGCGCTGGCCATCTTTCTGAGCAAGGCCATGGGGTGTGACATCACCACGTGTGACTATAACGATGCCAGCATTGCAGCCAACATTCACCACAACTGCTTGGCCAATAGCATCGAACCCCTGCCTCACATTCGACGTAAGCACGTTTAAAAGCACAATCCTGTTCTCAAAACCCTAAACTGCTTGGCCAATGGGAACCATTGCCTCACATTCGACGTAAGCACAAACTATTGAAAGCACACTCGACATAAGCACCAAAACCGACTGCTATTTTTTGTATCTCCTAATTACCTTTCTTCCCTTTTCTTTCGGTCCTCAAGCTTACACAATCCAGCGTCAAGTCGATCCAAACGTCAATTAAGTTGCACAAACTCCCCACTTTCCCCCGTTTTCCCTACACGTATGCATGAATGCATGCATGCATGCAGACACATGGGGAGAACCGTTTCCCATCAGCCAGCCATCGTGGGATGTCATCATTGCCAGTGACGTTCTGCTTTGTATGTGTAGATTCTGGTGTTTTCTTCTCCCATGTCTCTTCTCGTTTTATTACATTTTCCTACACGTACGTATGAATCCATGCATACATCATTGCGCAACCATCGTGGGATCTCATTATCGCTAGTGACATTCTTCTCTGTGCGTTTTCCATGTGTCGATTTGGGTGTCATTCTTTCCCTTGGGTTGTCTCAAGTTTCACATTCATTGTTTGAGATCATCATGTGTGTACTCTGATGAGCTTTGCATTGATCTGCCCTTGCTTCTCTATACACAAGATTAAAACATATATATATACTATATATACATGTCGTAAATACAATTCCCCGAGGCTCCCTAACAAGTGTATGCCTCTCACGTCTCTCCATATTCACATGGGCCATGTGATTCATGTCTTGATCGCAGATGTGAAAGAGTATCCCAATCTCGTCAAGACCCTCCGCTTCCTCCTCTTTGGCGCTCTGAAGTCCTCCCAGACCGTACAAGGCAAAGCCTCTGTGAGAGGAGGGGAAGAAGGGTGTTCGGTAGAGGAGAGAGAACAGGCAGGTTGTTCTTTGGCAGGACTGGGTGCTTCTGAGGCTGCTGTGGTGGCAGGAGCAGCAATGGATGCAGGTGAGTTGGCAGCTGCAAAAGAAGCAGCAGTAGCAGAAGAAGTAGCAGAAGCAGCAGCAGAAGCAGCAGCAGCAAGAGACGTGGTAGGGGACACAGTTCCCAATGCAGCTGCTGCTGCCTTGAAGGAAGTAGGGATGGTTGTTGATGCAACTGCTCCTATAATGCAGCCGCAGGGGAAAGAACGTGAGGCGGGACGTGGGAATGCAAGGCAGCGAGTGCAGAAGCAACAGCGCTATAGGGAGCAGGCGCCTGCTGATGTGGCGCTGACACGGCCGTGTTTTGTGATGAGCTGGCGCAGGAGAATCCCGAGGGAAGATGAGGAGGGGTTCTTCAGGTTGTGTGAGGAGGCGGGGATGAGTGTGGTTGATCTCGGCTCTAGAGTGTTTTGTATTGCTCCAATTGCTAGTGAATGATAACCTTTCACTATAAACCAAAGACTGTGCACGTTTGCACGTTTACACGTTTGCACGTTTACACGTTTGCACTTGCAGTTTGCACGTTTTCAGATCAGACTCTTCATACAGCAGCTTATAGTATATTACATGACACTTGCAGCTTTCACTGGATGAAAGTGAGGAAAGGCTTATAAATGCTGAAGATTTATTGTCGCATTACTGTTCTGTTCTTTGGGGCTCTTGCTCGCATGGCACTTGACACTGTAAACCAATTTAAGGGTATTATTACTGTACCTGAACTACCAGGCTAACGAACTAGCACCTTTACACACACCAACATACTAGAAGCATGAGCTACAAGCTTCACTGCCCAGTTGTCGCATGAAGCCTGAGCCCTCTCCTCCTCACTGATCTCCACACACTGGTACTGCCCCGAGCTGTCAAGCCCCATCACTCTCCCCTCCGGCGCTAGCCAATTGTCAAAAGCAGGCCCAGTTGTCACATGGTTCTCGAGCCCTCTCCTCCTCAGTATTCTCCACACACTGGTACTGCCCCGAGCTGTCTCCATTCAGAAACCTAAACACACTCCCCTTATGCTCCACAGCATATCCACCCTCCACCTGTCCCCCCACACCACCATGCTTCTTACGACCGGCAACAAACTCGCCACACCCCCGCTCCCTCCCACCACCAAGCCGAGACTCATCACAACCCCTCTCAAACTCGACACTCCAGTCGTTGTCCAAAGTCTGCGCCCCAGGCTCCTCTGCTGCTGGTCCCCCATTGCACGGTAAACCAGCATAGCCATTATTCATGTAGGTCCACACAGAGGGCGTCTGCTCCTTCAAGAGCTCCGGATCGCTTTGAGCCGCCTCAAAAGTTTCCCCATCTGCATCCCCATCCCCATCCCCATCCCCATCACCATCACCATTACACGACAGGCCAGTGTACCCGTCATGCATGTAGCTCCACACAGAGGGGATTTGCTGGCTGAAAAGCTCTGGATCTTCCAAACTGTCATTGCTGCTGCCACCACTGTCACTGCTGCTGCTACTACTTCCATTCACCCTGAGCCTGCTGCTGCCGCTGCGGCTGCTGGTGCGACCGGGAGAATCACTGGGCGATCTGCTGGAGGAAGAACTCCAGGCACTCATGGTATCAGAGCCGTTGATGTCCTTGAGACCTCTGGCACTAGAGTTGAGAATAGGCAAGATAGATGTGCTTGGTGCTGTTGGTGTTGAAGTGTTTCCTGGAGTGATTGACCGTTCATTGTCGGTGATGATTTGCTCCATTGCCTCGTAAACCTGGAGAGGAATGGTGGGGCAATAGAAGGGACAGACGAAGAGACGAGGCAGATGTAACTCAGTGTCATGCGCAACTTAGTATGTAGATGTAACTGAGTGTCAAGTGCGTTGTATCATGCAGAAGTAACTCAGTGTCATTCACAACGTATGTAACTCAGTATCAAGTGCAGCATAACGTGAAGATGTAACTCAGTATCAAGTGCAACATACCATGCAGATGTAACGCATTCTGTCCTGTGTCATGTGTCGCCTGCACGCATGCAAGATGTACTTCACAGCATCTTCCAATGTGGCCTTGCTGCTGCTCTCTCGCACAAAGGGAGCCACTTGAAGCGCTGCCGAGCAACCCACAGACACCTGGGAAGGTGGCAAACAGAGAGGCAAGGGAGGATGGCGGTTGTGTTCACAGCATCGTCCAACCGGGCCTTGCTGCTGCTGCTGTCCCGCACAAAAGGAGTGACTTGAAGCGCTGCCGAGCACCCCACAGACACCTGCGATGGTTGCAAGGAGAGAGATGATGCAGGGTGCTTTTGGAGAACGCATGCAAGATGGACTTCACAGCATCTTCCAACCAGGTCTTGCTGCTGCCGTTTTGCAGGAAGGGGGCCATTTGAAGCGCTGCCGAGCGCCCCACAGACACCTGGGATGGTTGCAAAGAGAAAGAACAGGGAGGATGGTGGCTGTGTTCACAGCATCGTCCAACCAGGCCTACAAGGCAAGGGTAGTGAAGAGTTGAGCTTTGAGGGGCTTCTCAGAACGCGTTTCTAGTCACCAGGCAGACTAGGAGGCACGCAGCATGATTTTCGAGGCGCCTCAAAAATCAACTAGGAGGCACGCAGCAAGAGTTGTGGTGTGAAGAGAGCTTACGAGGCAGGTGAAGAGTTGAATGAAGAGCTCTGACGGACTGATGCTCTCCAGATACTCCAAGCTCCTTGCCCTGTTGGCCGTTCAAGGAGCAGCCCAAGTGTAAGGAGGAGAATACTATAGTAATGCTGAAGCAGCTCGGTGCCGCACACATGCAAGTTGGACATTTGACACACGAGCAAGCATATCACGTGAGCTGACATGGAAAAACATTTCAACAGGTGCGTAGACGGCCCACCAAAGCACTCACCCGGCCTCACACTCGTCGAAGAGAGGCGGCTGCAGGAGGGCTGGCATGGGCTTGGCTTCGCTCCAATACAGCCTCCACTTGTTGTCTGCATGTCAAGAATAACAAGCAGGTGCAACACGTGCAGAATAACTCATGAGTGGGTTGACTGGAGAGTTGCAACGCTAGTGCCCCATGATATGAAGACGCAAAGCAAGTGTGCTTGGAGTTTTATTTCCAGATACCTGGGAATAACACAGCGGGAGTTTTATACCCCAAGTTGGGCAGACATGAGAGATAACGCGACGCACCTGGGCCTGACATGCGTGTGCTCAGGTATCCAATCGTGCTGCGCTCTCCCTTTCCTTGCACACATCCCTCCTCATCACTCGAGCCACTAGAATCGTTACCCTCCCCTCCTGTGCCTCCCGCATCCCCTCCCACTCCTCCCTCCGCTCCCCCTCCTCCCATTCTGGTGGAAGGTGCGTCACTCGACCAGTCAGCAGGCGAGTACCATCGCACAAAGTCCTCCAATATGCATCCTGGATTGGCAGCCTGCACAGGCAAGGCAATGCACAACAACACACAGACAAGCGAATGTGGATCTAATCAGCAGGCTCTGGACCAATCAGAAGGCGAGCAAGTACCACCGCTCCAAATTCTCCAGAACGCACCCCGAAGAGGACTTTTGAGGCACAGCAAGAGTCTATTTTTGCGGCGCCTCAGAAGTCCTTTCAGGCGTAGCAAGAGGCGTACTTTGAACGCCTGCAATAAAGAGCTGCTTGTGGGAGGTGATGCGGCTGCTGCCGACGTGGAAGTCCGTTTTCTGCAGCTCTGGCACGCACATGCTCGCCCCTGTCACCAGCAACCGCATTCCCCCCCCCTCACTTTCGTACCTTGAAGGCCTGCATGTGCATGACGGCTTCTTCCAGCTCTTCTAGGTACATGCTTGTGATCAGTGGCCCATCCTGCACCCCCGGCACGCACATGCGCACCCCCGTCACCAGGAGCCGCGTTTTCCCCCTTTCACAGCGTACCTTGAACGCCTGCATGTCGGAGAAGAGCCTCTTGTGGGCGATGTTGAGGCTGCCGGTGTGCATGACGGCCTCTTCCAGCTCTGCTATGTACATGCTCGTGATCAGCGGCCCATCCTGCACCTCCGGCACACACATGCGCGCCCCTGTCATCAGCAGGCGCATCCCCCCTGTTTCACTGCCACAATCTTGCCCTGCCAGCCCCGTGCAAGGACCCTCAGTCCCAGTCTCAGTCTCAGTCTCAGTCTCAGTCGGGTCAAGAGTTTTTGCTGTTGCAGTGGTGCCAGTTGGATCAGGGAAGCAAGCCCAGGAGTAGGAGCCGTTTTGCTCACTCAGCACACGCCCGTTCTCCTCGGCAAAACACCCGGGGGATCCGCCTCGCGGCGATCCACATGGTGGCGATCGCACCGGTGATTCCAGCGGAATTTCCAGCAGCACTTCGGACAGATTGTAACTCCCACACGTCTTGCACAGCGTCGGTTCGAACCGCCCGAAATCCCCAGAAGCTGTTTCCGAGAAGAAGGGGAAGCAGTCTGGCTGCTGCAGGTGCTGCTGCTGCAGGTGCTTCTGAATGTCGCTGCTGACTCGTGCCTTGCGCCACCGCTTCCGGGCCACGGCACAGTTGAGCACCTGCCACTGCTGCAGCACGCCACACACGCTCACGTCCGGCCCCTCTTTGTCTGCAAACACGTGTGGGATGGCGATCCCCTCCTCCCACCGATCCCGCACCTGCAATGCGAATAGGGATTCGTTTCATAGAGGCGAAAGGAAATTTGGTGAGGCATGACAAATGGAAATCCGCCACTGGAGATGTTTCTGGTGCATCCAGTGCTGCAGGTGCCTCTGAATGTCGCTGCTGACTCGTGCCCTGCGCCACCGCTTCCGGGCCACGGCACAGTCGAGCACCTGCCACTGCTGCAGCACGCCACACACCCCCACGTCCGGCCCCTCCCTGTCTGCATACACGTGTGGGATCACGATTCCTTCCTCCCACCGATCGCGAACCTGCAGCGCGAACAGGGAATAATTTTGTAGAGGCATGAGAAAGAGCAATTCACGTGAGGCAGGTGCTCCTGAATGCCTAGGCCGCTTCTGGGCCACGGCGCAGTTGAGCACCTGCCACTGCTGCAGCACACCACACACGCCCACGTCCGGCCCCTCTTTGTCTGCAAACACGTGCGGGATGGCGATCCCCTCCTCCCACCGATAGCGAACCTGCCAAAGTGGGGAGTTGGTGAGGGATGAAAAGGAAACTTCTGGTGAGGCATAAGATGGGGAAGCCCCCTGCTGCAGGCGCAACAGGTGTTTCTGGAGCTTCTGGTTGTTCTGAATGTCGCTTCCGGGCCACGGCGCAGTTGAGCACCTGCCACTGCTGCAGCACGCCACACACCCCCACGTCGGGCCCCTCCCTGTCTGCATACACGTGTGGGATCGCGATGCCCTGTTCCCACCGATCGTGAACCTGCAGCGCGAACAGGGAAGAATTTTGTAGAGGCATGAGAAAGGGCAATTCACGTGAGGCAGGTGCTCCTGAATGCTTATGCCGCTTCCGGGCCACAGCACAGTCGAGCACCTGCCATTGCTGCAGCACGCCACACACGCCCACGTCCGCCCCCTCCATGTCTGCAAACACATGCGGGATGGCGATTCCCTCCTCCCACTGATCACGCACCTGACGTGTGGGTGGGGAGTCCGTGGAGCATACGAAAAAAAATAAAATAAAAAAATCTGCAAGGGCATGAAAAGGACTGAGTCCCCTGCCCTCTCGGCTAACATGCCTCATGCACACACACACCTCAAGCATGCATACCACATCCGCCCTTGCACGCATACCCCACAGGTACCATGATACCTCTTGCATGACTTCAAGCCACAGGCGAGCCGTCTCTTCAGGCGATCCAATCCCCGTCGCACAGCCAGGCTCCCAGCAGGGCCGCCGTGCAGGAATTTCAGCACCACCTTTCCGTACGACCCAGCAGGTGAACCAGACACCTCATGCACACATACCTCTTGCATGACTTCGAGCCACAGGCGAGCCATCTCCTCAGGCGACCCAATCCCCGCCATCAGCTCTGCCAGTCGAACAGCCAGGCTCCCAGCAGGAGCGCCGTGCAGGGATTTCAGCACCCCCTTTTGGTGCAATCCAGCAGGTGAACCACACGCCGTTGATGGCGATCCAGGTGGTGCTTTCAACAGTCCAGATGCGTTGTTGAGAGAGATCTCACGGAGGGGAGGGAGGGGGATCCGGTTCTGGTCCAGGTCGGTTTCCTGGAAGCAACAGCCGTGGTTGCTTATAGGGGAGCCGTTGGATGAGGAGAGCTGAGAGCCGTTGGATGAAGAGTTGTGGTTGGAGTTTGGGGAGAAGTTTGTGAGGGCGCGCCAGCAGCCACAGGTGAATGCATCCATTTCCCCTGCTAGCAGCATGAGAACAAACACCGGAACCAGCATAGTCTCGTCAATTATGAGGGAACATATCATGTGCAGGGCAGGAGATTTAGACGCGCGGATTGGATTGGATACCAACATATGCAGGCAACTCCTGGTCATCCTCCTCAGAACAAGAAGGTGGATGATAAAAAATGCTATGGCTCGTTGTCAAGGCACCTGATTTGAAGAGAATCCGAACCGCGTCCTCGTTTGAGCAATCCGATAGTGAAGCTTCTATAGGGGGTGTTTCCGGTGTGGTAGCAACAGGCAGCCACGAGGAGCCGCTTAGGGTCTTCTCAACAGCACGGAACAACACGCCAGAGGGAGAATAGATACTGTCCGCGAGCTCCTTCACGGTTGTGTACGGTTCCGCATCACTGCAAAAGAAAAAATATCAATAAGGTTTGAAGTGACGAAAAAACATTCGAAAAACAAAAATCAAACCAGACAAGAAAGAAAAAGGTAAACAGAAGTCAGCAACTGACCGGACGGCGATTGCCAGGTTTCGCAGGAGGAAAGCACTCGGCGCGCTGATGGAGACATTGTCCAAGACGTTGTGCCTCTTCGATGCGTATTGCAGCGCCTGACTCGCTGATTTTATCTGCCGCTCCTGCAAAGTCAAATTTCGCGTTTACAGCTTAGAATCTCTCACATGCTGGGAGCCTAGAAGCTGACGTATATTGGGGGCCTAGAAGCTGAGGTCGCGTGTAAGATAGTGACCCACCATTTGCTCGGAGGTCCATCCTGGGTAGCGTTCAATGGCGTCAACTGTCCTGAAGTATCGCTTCCAGAACTCCTCATGGCTGAGCATCACTGGAACGAACTCCGCATGAATCTTCAGCAGCTCGTCGTCTCTCTGCATCACCAGAAACAGACCTTCTTAATCCTTGTCCAGGAACCGATGCGAGCTTCACTAAACAAGTTCCAGCATGCGGACGGAGAAGGTGGTAGGTACCTTGAGAGCGGATTCAATGGCGGAGTCAGACGGCATGATGTCCGTCGTCCAGTCTTGGTCGGTGCACCAGAGGAAATCTAACGGCCACTGCGAGCGAAGCCACGGAATTGTGTATCAATACGACACCGAAACGAGAGTAGCAGTAACGAAGGAATCGTAACAAGAGCGTCATGTTTCCAGTGTTGCGGTGATTACCTTCGATAGGTCCGACAACCGGGAATCCATCTTTTATTCGTGCCAAATAGTAGTCGAACTACGCGAAAGGATTACCACCCGGAGGAAAATGAAATGTTCTCGGACAAAGCTGGCCGCGTATGACAAACAGTCAGGAAGATTCAATATACTATCTAATAACCACTGCGAGGGGCGAAGCCTTCAGAGAATCGCTAGCATTGGCGAGGTAGGCGAATAGAAAGGCTAGAACTAGACTCCCCTCAACTACGAAAACAGCAAGCTGAGTAGCTCCAGGGGACTCCGACACACAACTTCACGGTCCAAGAATCAGAACACAAGCACAATGAAACCAAAGCCAGCTCTTCGCAACGACGACTCTGAAAGTCCTGCATGCTTGACGTCGCCATGCGCAGCCCTCGCGATGGGTGAACATCCGCAAGGCACGCTCAAGCTCTCCGCGTTTCTGCTCCAGAATCCTGAGGCACCAATAATTGTCAAACAAGGGAAACACCGTCTGAAGCACTCAACACGAACCCCAGAAAGCTTCCTTCCAGTCACACACCATCCGAAATTGTGAGCAGATCCGGAGCGCGCTGTTTTCAATGGGGATGTGTAGCGGTTTCGTTCGGTTTGTTGAGTTCTAACACGGTATCCGCTGAGAAAATAAACACGCTGACCAGGAGGGGGGGTGATTGGGGAGCAAGGGGACGAAAACAGCTGCTGTAGAGGCGTGGGGTGGGATGGGGAGGGTTTTGAAGGCTATAAGCATATCTTCTGGCGGACGGGACTGTCGCCCAAACTTCTTCCAGCGAGCCTCACAACCACGCGGACAATGTGGTCCGCAGCGCGCGTTGCTTTTTGGCTGACCGGGGGGGCGCCCTTCCCCCGACCCTGGTCATTGATGAATTGACCCGGAGTGCCGCGTGTTGCGGTGAGACTTGAAACGAGGAAGAAGTGTACTCGCAATATATAGAAAGTTAAATTACTTTTGAAGAAATCCCGCACTCATTGCATCTCTCAGAACCAGGCTCACAACTGGCCAAGTTTTAATATGGTTACAAGTACACCAGTCCTACTACTAGAGAGCTACTATATCAGGGCAACGGGAAACTATAAGCATACAGTAGCAGCGTCCCCATATGAACTAATAGAAGGAACTGCAGATGAAGGCAGAACAGCAAGGCCCAGAAGTAGCAGCATTACCACAACTGGCAGCAGGAGAATGGCACTTGGAGGCGCTCCAAGGTTAGGCAGCAATATTGGCACCACCAGCAGCAGGAGGAGAAGCACACAAAACGCCACTTTGGCCTGCCATGTCAAAGCCGCTACAAAGCCGGTTTTAGACTCCTGAGCAGACACACCCTCAATACTTCCATTTTCCGCCACTCTTAGCAAAGCACTTGGCCCTCCCATTGATGTTACAGTGCTACCAGGTCCCCGCATGCTGACATCACGAAGGGAACTCGCGCGATTAACACCATCTCTGGTTCCACGCAGCACAGCATCTGATCCGTCGCCAGCCAATGGCAGTTCAGCTGGTGGGACTGAATAGACACGATTGTAACGATAGCCGTTCCTTTCCCCGGAGATGCTTCGCTGAGCCGACGCGTGACCAGAAGTTCCTGGAGATCGAACCTGTCGCTGAGAAACCCTAGTAGCATCAATCGGTGAGCCATTTTTCGTAAGAAGGCCCAAATTACGGCGGGAAAGTATGTCAGGAACGTGGCGCGGCGCAGATTCTTCTCGCGACGAGACCCGGGAAATGTCGGAAGCAGTAGCGCGAGAATCTGAGAGGCCGCTATGGGCTCCAATCGACCTCGACCACTTGCCAGCCCTACCGCCACTTAACCTTTCCGTTTCCTCCTCCATCAGACTAATGACGGGCTGGTAGTATTGCGACTGATAGCTAGAAACAGAACCTTCATTGTGAACCATTGAAACGGTCTCTGAGGAACGGCAGCTCAAAGACGTCTGTCGAAATTCTGAGAAATGGTTATCCTTGAAGAGAAAGAGGCAGTGTGCTCCTAACTAACAGATGTGGGATGGGAACCTGGGTTGGAGGGGAAACTTGATTTGGCCAACGCGCGGACACTATTTCAGCCATAATGGCAGCAGGGGGGGTGATGCTGGTGCACTGTTCCGCAGCAAAGGCGGCCCTCCTCTGACTCCGATGATTCGACGATATGATCACAAGGACCTCGCTGTCGGCTTGCTCTTCCAGCAGAACCAGCAGACGCACGCACGAATCCAACTCGGTTCGGCCTGATGTGGTTCGGATTTTGCAGCGATATGGGCGAACGGAGTTCGCGAAATCTGTGATTTGAAGAATCTGTATGGGACTTGGGTTGTTGGAATGGAAACCCTACGCAGTCGAGACTTTACCGTGTGTTTTAGTTTTGCCCTGGTTGAAGACAACCTGGAATATGGCAGTCCGCCAGACGGGTGACGGAAAACCACTGCCCATTGCTATGATCCTTGTACTGTACACAAAGTTCGGGTTTAGTGCCCTTATAAATCAAATCTTATGAGCTGCATCAGCCACTCATTTACCCGAATCACACGACTGCCATGCCTAGAAATCAGGCTTGAAAAGCAAGGCCTCACTTCACACACCTGGCAAGCAAAGCGGCCCAATAGCAGGAGGCCTGGCAGGGATCACCCACACGTGAGACTTCACCACCGCCGTCCTCAAGCAAGCCAGCTTAGGAAATCAGACGAGGGTGTTCCAGCGCGGCGAAGATGTGTGATGGCTGGACATTAACTGCATTGTACATTGACAGCTCTGGTATATGAGCTAGATAGCCCGCAACCGAACTGAACCGAAACGTCCATAGCAACAGGTTCTAAAGCCTTATGGTAAAACCTCTTCATAAGTGTTCGCAGTATCACCAAAAGGGTAAAATTGCTGTAGGACTCAATGGTGTTTCGGGAAATATTAACCATGCACTTAATAAAAAAGAGGTGGGATAATAGCAATGCATGAAAGAAGCGGCTTGGCCGGTAAAAGATCGTTATATTTTGTATTTAAATTGATGCGGACAGGTTTTGGGCATTGCAGTGCTATATTCATAAGTTGATCGTGGCCTACGATCTACTCAAGAAGGTTTGCACGCAGAGAAGTGGTGTTGGTGGGCCCTTGGCCTCAATAGCAGAGTGAATGTAAATGCTTGAGATGATTAAGACATGCAAATACTGTTGGAAACAATCGGTCATAAGCGTGTCAAACCTATATTTGTAACTGCCTGTAGCTCAGGGCCTATTTTATCAGGGTAAATCACCCTGATGCCCTGATGAACAGGGTGGTTTTTAGGTAGTGACACTGATGCGGTAGGGTAATTTTTAGGACCTTCATTTACCCTGATGTGCCATGGTTTATGATTGTGCTACACTGTCGCCTCAGGGTTGCCTATCCTCTTATCGAGTTTTACCCTGAAGCGACTTCCAGCCAACCCCCGACCCCCCCCCCCCCCAACCTTCCCCTAACCCCCCTACCCAGTAACCTGGGAATCCCCTTTGCCAACTGTCGTAACTGTAAATTTCGGCACGACATTACGTGTGCTGGTACGAAGTGGGCCACCATTGGCCTTGAAAAATTGTTACACTGATGACCCAGGGTAGAATATTCTGGATCTGCAAAAACCCTGACAGATCAGGATTTTCACTGAGGGATACTCAGATAATCAGGATTTTGATGATGTGCAACACTGATCGTAAGGGTTGGCTAAAACCAAAAATTAGCCCTGCTGTAGCTGTAGTTGGTGTAGTTATTTAAATCTGTAGGTGGTGCACCTCTTCACTTGTTTCCTTTGCTATATGTACTTCGAAACTATAGTGAAGCATCATTCTTCCCAACTTCTCTTTCAACTCACTCGAACCTCACCCTAGGCTCGAA